TAGAAATAAGCAGCATAGCTAGTGACTTACATACATCATAAAACATTTGTGCACCATTTGTGAGTCAGGATTTTCCCCTGTGTTTGATACACATGTACATGTATGTATCAAGATTCGTAATAATAATAATAATAATAATAATAATAATAATAATAATAATAACTAACATGGAAGGCTTCTGTTGAGAAAATGTTTTATATCTTTCTGTTTATTCCATTAATAAAAAAGAGATATATCAGTAATAAGTAAATAAACAAAAGGTGGTTTGTTACAGATCAACGCTACTCTGTATACAGGCCCCAGTTTTTTCGTAGGACTGAATTTCCCCTTGAAGGCCCCACAAGAGAGGCACCTCAGTTCACCTTGTAATGAGATAGATTCTTTTTGTCAGTATTCAGTATGTACTTATCCTCAATTTTTTAAACTGCAACTGCGCATGCCACGGTGATGCCTCGCTTTCGATTTTTTATCAAGGTTTCAAAATGAAAAAGTTTATGCGCGAGAGCGAGACTTGCAGTTGGAAAACGCCAAACATGTTTTTATATACATGTAGTTGGTATATACTTCAAATCCAACAGGAATAGGTCCATATCATTGTCACATTATAGACCGTTTATACGTGCAGTGTATGGTGTCATTCGTTAGCACAATGCGTCGTGACTTAAACGACCTAGCTCCCCATTGGCACTGGTGGATTTTGATCAGCCGGTCAACCGTTCCAACATTTACTTTTTTCTTTACTTTTCCTTTTTTTCGCTTAGGCATTTTGACGTACACAGATATTAGAAGGAATAATGGTCGATTAATACAATTTTTATCAGTCAGAACCAAAACTGGTATTTAAAAACTGGTATTTACAATATTTCCAACTTAATATTTGCAGATCTGTCGGTCTATTCTTTCTCATATTTGAGTAATGGAGTAAAACATGAAAACAATCGCAAAATAATTTCACAGCTTGCTACGCAGTCTTTGCGTTTTTGAGAACAAAGTTTGCGTAGGTGCTTATGTTGGGTTTTCACGTCAGTATGCGTTTTGACTGTAATTTTGACTGGTATTTTCGAATTATTTTATGAAGTTTATATAGTAGTATTTGGTTAAAACCCGTTCTAGCAGATCAATTTATTTTCGACTCCTATAGCAGTAGGCCTATATCGTATGTATAGGCATATACTTGGGACTCTAATAAAAGATGCATGGTTAAATTGCTATAGGCCCTATCTTTGGCTAGATGAAATGATTATGAGTTATTGCTAGATGAAATGATTATGAGTTATTTTTTATCCAATACCTGATTCAGGAAATGAATTAACTGTTGTAGAAGGAAATGGAGTTGGATGTTGCGGAGAAATTATTTCATTCAGCTCATCCAGCATGCACAACGCAACGCGTGTAAAAACGCGCACAGATACGTAGTGTACTGCTACACACATTCATAGACAGACACATTAAAACAGTAAGTAAGCGCGCACCTGCACACACCTACACACGTCCGCGCACACACATACACACACACGCACGCACGCACGCACACACACACACACACACACACACACTTTGTTACATCTAGTTACTTCCTTCTCTAGCTTTGGCAATGCACGTGGTCATGTGTGTTTTAACAATCACACGCAACTAAGCACTCTCTAGGGCTTGGCATTACCATTTGACAGCCACGCTGCATTAAAGAATTACAACTGTGCGAAAGCAGCAATATGTAACATAATTTGCGTTAAGTACGAAGTCATATCCGCTGCTAATTTGACATAATAACCGGGAGAAAATGTTGTTTTTGGCTCATATTGTGTCAGAGACGGATGTTCTTATTGCGTTTTTTTCTTCTGGTGTTGCTATACCGAGTGAGTGTCCCTAAAATGTCGATTTTTTTAAATTAAAATATTATTACATTATTCATTGACTTATAGACGGTATTAAACTTACTTGCCTAGACACAATCTTTTTGTCATTCTTTTGCATGCTTTTCTTGAAATATGATGCTAAGTGGGATGAACCAAGAAAGTATTCTCTTTGGTCTGTGTATTGGCAGACATGACTTGTGTAGGCTGAGTAGTTTTTCTTATTTTATTAACATTCTCTATGATTTTACGTCCCACTTGCTTCATGTGTGGCAGCAGCCCATTCTTGGAATAAGAGACACGATGTCGGGACGAAATAATTTTAGGTGGTTGCGGCTTTATTCTTGATTGCTTCTCGATTATTTGAAGAGATGTTATGAATCCTTGCCAGTTTTGAGATTTTGATTTATGTTATCTTATATGATTTCTCCATTGGTCCCTCCTTTCAACCTTAAGCATAGACACTTGGCTTTTGATGTTTTTTTTTTTTTTTTTTTGCAATTTGCGCATTTTTCCACAACGTTTGAAATAAATCCACATTATAGCAGGTTGCTGCCTTCACCCCCGATTGCTGCCTTCACCCATTCTGTTCGTCTCGTTTGTAAGCTCTGTTTACAGCAAGTGCGCGTAGGAGTTGCGGTTCACATACAAATGATTCCACGTACACTACCAAGATACACACTGCAAAATAAAAAAAATCGCTTCCTTTGCTTTTCTTTTATCATTTAACTCTCTTTTTATTTTCTTTCTTGTTGGTGGGAGTATGACACTCTTTGGAAAATACGTGATAAACGCCTCATGGTAGTTGAGGGCTTTCAAGTGTTAACAATGGAGCAGAATTGAATATGCCATGCAAACAAAACTCTTTTCGAACTCATTCTACATATAATATATATATATATATATATATATATATATATATATATATATATATATATATATATATATATAATCACCGTTTGTCAAAGAGTCGCAATGTCAGAGTAAAATGCATTTTAGATAAAAGAGATTTCTTATAAACAAGAATTATCATACCACGCACCTTTCCTCCCTGTCTGGACCTCTTTTAATTATTTGAGGATCATTGAGCACGTGCTGGCGTGGGGTTACACTGGGAGAGAGTGGAGCTAAAATAACAATTCTGGCACGCCTTCTCCCTTCCTGTTTACTCTGACTTCTTTCTTGACTTTGCTTGGACGGCTGGTAGAGTTTGGGAACATTTTTATTTTTGGCGCACAAGCGGCGACATGAGTCACCATCAATTTGCTTTGTATACTGAAGTTAGGTCAAACCGTCCGAACTTCGAATTCAGAGGGAATCGGTTTTGTTGGGTAAAATCATTTGTAGATTTTGACGCGGTTTCATGATGCAAATGAATGCAATTTGAAGAAGATAATCGTTTGACGCTTTCTATGAACATACACAGATATATTAATTTCTTGAAATGATGGCCTTTAATTATAGCCATAAACAACTGAATTAGCTAAAGTGTAGACACATGATCAAAGGGAAAGTAGAAATTGGCAGTTGAAGAGTAATACAAAAGTCAAAACTTTAGAATTAATATCGTGTTTGATAAACTACATGTATGGTATAATCAACCTTAAACCAGATTGTAGATTGGTGCAAACTGGTTTAGTTTGATGACATGAACCCTTTTGTTTTCACAAAAGAACGTAATGAAATTTACTCAGCTGTAACCAATGATAAATGAATATTATATTTCATTTAGAGTAAAAATCGATACGGTTTCAGAAAGACAATAGCAGTATATTAAAGTGGTTATACATGTAGTCCGGAATTAAAGTGGACAATTCTTTCGGACTTTTATTTTCAAACCAAATTTCAGTCAAAAACTTCCTGTGTGAAATGAGGCTCTGAAAGCTGCTGTGAAAGTGCTTTAATGCGTAATGCAGCTGTCAAAGTTGATCAAACATTTCGAAAATATAAGTAACAGTTCTAATGGGGTTGCCAAATGGGGGAGGGGATTCCCTGATGGTAATTTAACTTTGTTTCTTTTTATTTATCTGTGTTAACTGCTTTTACTTTGTTAACACATTTCTTTATCTACTATTAAATAACGGAACTTAAGTTATTTGTAGTGTATTTTTATTTCAAGATTTTGTATAACTTCAGAAAGAACACGATATTTCTTAAACAAATGAAACAACCAGGAGTATAACTTACTTAAATGTTCTCCCGCGGCTACACCGATGATATATATGCTTTGGTTCATACGCAGTAGAGCCTCAGTATGTCGAACAGTTTTTACATCACCGAGCTCAGTGACTTCTCCGATCTCTTCTGTGTCTATGGGGACGACACGTCATCGGGGCCTGATTGTACCATGGCCCATAGGAGCCTACGCGTGCCTCTTTAAGACGCCCCTTTACATGCGAAAACGACATACACCGTGTCTATTTCGTATGTTATTAATCCCTATAGCAGCGGAATTGACAAGGCCTATGCCGCGTTCGTCTTTTACTACAGCGCTTTGAGCCCTAAAAATGACAAGTCTGCGTCTGTTTCGCAACTAACTGAACTCCATAGATGCGAGATTGATACGACCCATGTCGCGTTCGTCTCTTACTGTGGATCTTTGAGCTTCAAATGGCTATGTTATAAAAGGCAATCTCGCAAGTTCCGAAATAAGCATGATTATGTCAATTTCGTGTTTTATAAGATGCACAGTATAAGACAAATGCAGCGTGGGCCTCAGTGGATGACGACCAAGACATGACCATGTGAATTTCGAGTTTTTTAACGTAGCCATTTCAAGCTCAAAGAGAGGAACGCGACATGGGTTGTGTCAATCTCGCATCTATGCAGTTCAGTAAGAGGTGAAACAGACTCAGCCATGTCATTTTCGGGTCTCAAAGCTCTGTAGTAAAAGACGAACGCGGCATAGGCCTTGTCAGTTACGCTGCTATAGGAATTAATAACATACGAAATAGACACGGTGCATGTCGTTTTTGTATGTACAGGTAAAGGGGCGTCTAAATGACGCACTCGTAGGGTCCTATGGACCATGGTATGATTGTATACGCAGACGTGTTGCAGTTTTCAACCATGTTATCGCAGAAGAAAACAATTTGGTTGAGGAATGACAAAATGATAACAACTGCATTATCTTTCCTTTATTTTCAGACACATTCAGAGGCCTTTTCTTCCGAATAGCAAACGAGCATCTCACCGTTCCATCTGTGAAACAGCTCCTAAATAGTTCGGTGGAGGCGTGTGCAGAGCTCTGCGTCAAAGAGACCGAGTTCGAATGTCGGTCCTTTGAGCTTGACAACGTACACAAGACGTGTCACCTTCACAGGAAGAACCACGAGGACGACGGGGTGCGACTGGAACCGGGGACGGGGACGGATCATTACAGAAGTAAGCCAGGGTCACTCTGAATCTAAGACCCCATTTCCAGAGATTAGATCGATCTACTTTAGATCGACCTAACTCCCTGGGGGTTCACGCTAAATAGCTGTCAGCCGAGCGGGCACGAAAGTTAATTACCCCTTTCCAGCTTGTAATAGGCGTGACGGACATTTAAGCCGGATTATCTGACAGTAATCTAGTGAGACTCCCCGCGGGGATAGATCGATCTAAAAGCTCTGGGAATACGCCCTAAGGCCCCATTCCCATAGACACAATCGGTCTACGGAGATCGACCCAACTCAGCAGAGTCTCTGTACTCAGATAAAAATATTAAGACTCCGCCTCTTGTTTCCACCACCTTTTCCATATTCTACTTAACACCAGGAGGAGGTGTCTTAATCTGTTGAATTACTTACATTCAGCTGAGTTAGGTCGATCCACGTACACTGCTGGTGTCTATGGAGATGGGGCCTTAAGTTTTTTGCTAAGTAGATTGGGAGAGAGGGGGTTAACAGAAATTTAACTGTAATACAGTGTACATAAGGCACAGAGATGGAAACTTTTTCGTTATATAATTTTTATGGAGTAGGGGTATGATAATTTTTTAACGTTTTACTATTTTAGTAGTATTAAACTTGAATTTCTTCATCGCTTTCACCTGCCTTAAACGCCCAAGATTTGTCTAGAAGTAACAATGTAGAAAAAAGTATTTTGTGTATCCATTCATTCGTATATTTAATTATATATTTATTATTTTATTCCGCACAGCAAACTACGTCAAGCAGTTCAGCCGCATTGTAAACCATGTCATTACCCTTCGACACAATCGTAAACTCCCGTCTATCACGGTGGAGGAATGCGCCCGAAGCTGTATCTACGAGATGGCTTTCCAGTGCCGAGGTTTCGACTACGATCACGAGAACACGATTTGTTGGCTGACAGAACTTGACGCGCAGAGCGCCGGGGGACTACGGCAGTTTAACGGCGTGGATTGTTACGAGAAAATTCCAGGTACTGTTATCCGGATTTACACGTTTTTTGGAAGTCTTCAGAATACGTTTGGTTTATCCCGCATATGAAATGCAAGATAATTTTCATTTATTCTAGAACACAAAGTCCTTCTTTACCTTTTGTAAGTACAAATATGGGTCACTTGCAACACTTTGTAAATAAATTCAAATTATTATATTATATTATATTATATTATATTATATTATATTATATTATATTATATTATATTAACTGAATCAAAATTACCTCAGTAAAAGAAAAATCTTTAAGATGAACGGTCTACTTGCAGTGGGTATACGGTCCCAATTCATCAACTACGGCTCCGGGCGGCTACGGAACCTCCCTGGTGGTAACGTGTACAACCAGGTGCGACTGGGTCTCTCACTGGAGGAGTGTGCCCAGCTGTGCAACGACGAGACCACCTTCCACTGCCTGAGCATCGACTATCAGTTCTCAGAACACGGCTGCTACATGAGCGAGTATATCGCGGCGAATGTGTACGGTCTGGAGACTGGACTTGTGAGGGGTGTCATGCATTTTGAGAAAATAGGTGAGTTTTCACTTTCCGATCCAGCTCAGGTGGGACTCACGCTGAATGCAATCAGTTTTACTGACGTTGAGTAGAAGACAGATTACAGCAAAGGTGGTGATTATGTATGTAAGTTGGAAACAAGAGGGGTGTGTTTCAATGGGAATGGGCCCTTAAACGGGGTCCAATCATACTGAGTGTATACGGTCTAAATTAAATTAATACATATGTAATTAAGCAAGCCTATGTCACATGCTCCTGTGTGAGAGTGCGAGAAGAAAATTATATATATTTTGCATCTATTTACAGAAACCTATCTCCAGTTTTTCTACCCCACCCCTTACGCAGTGTTGCTAGGCAACAACCATAAGAAATATTCCGGTGTTACTCCTAATTACTGCGCCAGGATGTGCCTCCAAGAAGATGGCTTTATTTGTCGTTCCTTTGACTACCAGGTATGTTTGCATGCCTCTCCCTCTACACACACACACACACACACACACACACACACACACACACATTTTCAATCACATCACAACCATTAGCGCATCAGACATGGAAGCAAAGGGAAATCCTCCCTTCCCTGGTGTTGCTATTTTTTTTTCTAATTGGTTTGTGTCCTACATAAAATTGACGCCCTTCGATCATTAACACGGCTAACGAGTGATTGGTAAAATGTGTATTTTTTCTAATATTATATCCCTCTAGTCCACAGTTTAAAATTATGTTTTACAATGTAGATTCGAGACGGGACATGTCTGATAAGCGCCAAGACAGGAAGTGATATTGGCGGACTATATAACCAAGGAATGGCACAGATCCATCACTTTGAAATGAAACCATTCTTAGGTATGTGCTTATTGAAATAAAAGAAGACTATTTGTGAATTGAACGCAGGTTCGAGGAGGGTGCGCAAAAGTATGACCGTAGCCTTTGTGTGTTTGACTTGTTTAAAACAATGTGAAAATGAATGTAAATGCATGCAAGCTTTTGTTAGGTAATGGTTTATTTTTATCACGTTTTACTGATCTATTTATTTTCACAAATACTAATTGTGGTTCTAAGTATAGTTGACGCTACTATGGTCAGCGTAGCTTCAGCCTCGTTTAATAAACTCTTTTTCTCAAGACGACCAAATTTATTGACCAGGAATACAATCTGCGTCGGAGTGGGATGTAACTGTCATACTGTCCTTCTCGCAAAGATACTCCATTGCTAATCGGACATCTAGACCCCAGCTGAATTAAGTAATGATGTATTCATTTCTTTTATGGGGATTAAAATATATGTCAAATGGCGCGTTTTAAACCATGAACATTTAAATTGAAGTCTGAACTAGGCTCAATGATGCGCCTTTGTTTTTCATGGAAGAATGCGGCGGTGAACTGAAGGAGACAAAAGGGACGATCGCCTCACCGAATTGGCCGCGCAACTACGCACCCCACCAGCACTGTGAGTGGAGAGTGACGGTGCCTGAACATAAGGTATGAATGCGCCCTGTTGTCAAGAATCGTATTTCTTAGTTAAATCTTTCTAAATATATAAGTTCCCTCTTCATTTCTCAGACAGAATTCAATACTGGTCCACACATACAAGCAAGAGCTATTCTTTCCATCTGAATTTTTTTCACTTTTTTATTTCATAAGACGGCACACTTGTAACGTCACAACACAGTACATTTCGAACCACACAACTCTCTCTAATTCTTACATTTTGAGAACCTGCTAATCATCAGTTTGCCTCATTTACTCTGTATCATCTATATGACAAATATTTTTTTCTATTATAGGTGGTTCATTTCACGTTCATTCACTTCGACTTGGGCCTCCAGACGTCCGAAACGTGCGCTGACCATAACGACAGGCTGGTCTTCTCAGAAATCTTACAGCCAGGAAATCAGACACAGATTTACTGCACACAGCCAAACACAAAGAAATGGATTTCCAAGACCAACGTTGTAAACGTGACGTTTACATCTGACGTAGTAGGTGACGCCCCCGGGTTTCGGTTGTTTTATTCCGCTGGTGAGTGGGCAAAAGATTTAGAGGAGTGATACGGTGCATGTAAATCCTTGCAATTTTTGCCGTTACAAAACCTTTACTTTCAAGGCAGCTGGAGTACATAAGTGCCGATTTTTTTTTAATGGATTTCGAAATAACACTATTATTTATGCATTTGTTTAGTGTCTATCCTTTTTTTTACTTTTATCGTGACCACTGCGAGCTACTCAATTGCACCTGTTGTGACGAACTTTATGAACACGTTTTTAGCAAACTGGTTTTATAGTAGGCTAGGCTATTGTAGCAGTTCATTGTTTGATTCATATTTTTGTCTACTTTTCTTGGATTGGGTATCAGGTCTCATAAAACTGCACCTTTTTATATACTTCTGAATGGCCTTGTTTTCCTCATTAGTTCTTATCGAAACGCTTTACAAAAACTTAATACGGAATTTTAGGCGTTTTTAGAAGGATCAATAATAATAATAATTGTAACTTTGAACTCCGTTGTTATTTTTAGAATGGCCGTGCAACGCGGAGCTGCGCCAGGACCAAGGACTGTTTGCGTCTCCGAATTTCCCCGAGAACTACATGTCCTCGTCGCGGTGTTCTTGGCACATACGCGCCCCGCCACGCCATCAGATACTGTTCCGTATACACTACTTCCACCTGGAACCCCATCCGAGAGACATCTGCTCAAACAGGTACTGATATATTTTGATGGAGATTCATCTGTGTAGTCTTTTCATTATTTTATACGCTTAAAACTTTCAATTTCGACACTTACTTGAGAAGTACCTCACAAAGTTTTCGATCACTACTGTGGCCTTTTTTCACCGAGTTATAGCCTAAAACATAAGGTACCGATATTATATCGTACAGAGAGAAGAACGGGGCCTAATATTATTTTAGACTTCAAATGATTCCGGCTCAATTTGAAATTTTCATTGTGTTTTATTAAATCCCGAAGTTTCGATTGTCGAGATCCTTGAAAACGATTAATAACCCGATCGAGGTATGGTTGCCAATTATTATTATTATTTTTAAAAAATTTGACCGACAAACACGTTTAATGAAAAGGCCAACTTTAGGTTCAAAATGTAACCCGCACGATCATCATTGCTAAGTAGTTTTAGGGTTTCAAAAGGTGGGTTAATAATTACCTCCGCCAAGGAGGTTATGTTTTCACCCCTGTCTGTCTGTCTGTTTGTTTGTTTGTCATCAACATAACTCAAAAAGTTATGGACCGATTTTGATGAAATTTTCAGAGTAGGTGGGAAATGGGTTAACTTAGAAGTGATTAGTTTTTGGTGGTGATCCGGATCAATAATCAATCAATAATAATCAAAAATCGCTGCCTTGGCGTAGGTCTGCGCTCTCGGAGTGCTTTTCTAGTTCAATATTTGAATGGAATTCGTTCACACTTATCCTTTGTTTTTTCGGTTAAAATTTCACGTGAATTTGTACATGAAAACATTAACGTTAAAATGCCGTTGACACAAGAACACGCAAACGTCCCATGTAATGTTTTCTGCTTCTCCCCTCAGGTTCGACTACGTGGCGGTGTACGACGGTTCAAGCAACTCCAACAAACGCCTGGGCATCTATTGTGGTGCCCGGGCCCCCTTCTCTCTCATGTCCACTGGCAGCAACCTTCTCGTAGAATTTTCCTCAGATCCACAGGGTGAGCGAAAGGGATTCAACGCCACCTATCATTTTATATCCAACTATGAGATACCTGATGAAAACCCATCAACGCGCAAGCCGAGTGAAAAACTCCCGGAGGTGACGCAAACCACGACAAAGAAGCCGGATGAGTCTAAAATAGTGATCCAGTTTGTACCAAAAGATGAAAAGGAAATTGTCAATCCGCCAAAAAGCGATGCAGGTGAGTTTTTTTCGTAAGTTTGTGTATCTAATTAAGTCTGAAGAAATAAAATGACACAAGTAAAATAAAATTCTCATTATGAGGCACATTGTTGTTCAACTTTCCTTTCATGAAGCTGCATAATTATGCTGTCCGCTTGCACAATGTTTGGTTGGCTTAATAAATGTTCTGTTTGGCACAAGATTCAAATTTGGGCCGAGAAAAACGCTGGCTTAAGCGTCTTTTATGACTGTCATAGGCATTTAAGTCCGACAGTTGATCCAAAGAGATAGCAAATTAAATAGTTAAATAAGTTTAAATAAATTAAACAGTTAAGTAAGATGAAGTTCTTTTTTTCCGCGCAGTTTCAAAGACTGACTCCCAGATACAAGAAGCTGGCGGCGGAGACATGACATGGATCATAGGAGTGGCTTTAGTGGCCTTACTCATCGCAGTGGTCATCCTGATTGTGGTCATTATATATAGGTAAGCCATCTTTATATATGGACTTTTATTTGTTTTGCGTTTATATTTTTATGCTAGTATGTAGATATTTATTCATTTATTTATTTATTTATTTATTTATTTATCTGCCTCTCTCCGCTGCAATTGACACTGGGTGTCAGTTTTGTTTTTACCCAAAAAATGCCTTTGAAGTATCTTCCAAATTGCATGGTGGTACACACCCGGGAGGCAGCTACGCCTCTCTGATACTGAACGTGCATTTTCGCTCTGTTTTATTTATGTTTCTTTCAGCATTTTTCATATTCTGTGTTTTTGCATGGCACATTAGTTTACACCCTGATTGAACATGTTCTGTCTATAGCCGGCAGTTGTCATGGTGCTGAGCAGTATGGATTTGTTATGCATGGCATTCTAATTATCATATACGATAGAGTAATGTATGTTTTATGTCTTCTCCATGGCACCATGCATGTCATTGTAGTAGAATTGTTTGTAATGCATTTGTAATTTGTATGTTATGTATGGCTCAATCATTGATATCATTTATGTCAAAGATTTCAAATCGCCCGTCAAGAAAATCTGGTTAATTCTACATAACATAAATGTTTTACAGGAGAAGAAAGCTTCCAAAAGAGCCGAAAGACGAGTGAGTGCACAATACCTTACGGATTCTCTAATCTCTGTTCTGCCACTTAAATATGGTTTGGCTATTGGTTTCTCATATATTCTTTATAAATATGACTGTTATATGTGAATATAATCTACTAGTACATTTAATGTTGGCCATAACCTGAAAATAACCAATTATCACTTAATGTTTCTTTAACATTCCTCAGTTGCCAGGTTGCTATTAAATTTGCATGATTTACAGGCCATTATCCGTGTGCGAGGTAGGGGGAAAAACGCAACTCTCCTTTGCTATATGCTTTTGAAACGAATGAGGTCTTTATTAGGCCTACTGTATGTGAAATAAATACCCCCAGCCGCCTAACCGTGAGACTTTCAAAATGTTCTAACATGATGATAGACTGTGTCAAGGATGTTCGTAACTCAGTATACGTTTGTATTTACTTTTTGATGTGCCTTCCTTTGAACACAACATGACTGAGCATTGAACATTACACGTCGTAACCTTTCTGAAGCTTGGGCTGAATATGTCTCATTTTTGTCCCTTATTCAAGTTGTGATAACAGTTCATCATATTTTACCGTGAGATTGGCAAATGGTATGTAGCGGAAGTGCTGCATCCCATGAGAGCAGGCCTTCTCCACTATCTCCAAAGCCCAGCGGTCCATGGTGTGTATCCACTGGTAGGCAGTGTGGATAGGGCGTGAGCGGGATGTACCGTACCATCCGTTGTCGTACCGGGCTGTTGTGCTGTTAATCACCCACTCTTTAAGCACCTCGGGCATCGGTTGTCTTAAAAATTGATATAAATTCACCGCTTCTCGCAGAGGATTTTTGACGGTGTCTTCGTACCGGATGTCAATGATTCTGCCTGGGAACCTCCCTTCTAGTTCAAGACGGGTTTTTATGTTGTCTGTTAAGTTTTGGCAGTGTTCGTCTGTTGTTTTTTTAAAGGCCGCGACTGTATTTTCCCAGCTATTTTGGCCACGAAGAAATGCATTGAAATTTGACCACATGGCACCTAAAAAAAATCAAGAATTAGATTACACAATCAATTATTTCAGATTATAAAATATTATATACTCTCTGAGTTAAACTGACGCATAAAATATTATGGAATGTTATGACAAGAACACAATGAAAACTTTTTAAAATCTCAGATTTGTTCTATAATTATCACATAGTTGTTCTTTAGAATGTTAAATACGTTTATTTTAATTCATTCCCTAACCTGCGCATTGCATGATTGTTTTGCTTTACATATACTTTAAATATAATATCCTAAATTCAAATAGTTCGGTATTCAAAATCAACTTACCTCGAGGATCTCGTACCAAATGCAATATGTTTAGATCCGGGTTCTTATCCAAAATGTCCTCCGTCATCCGCAAGGTCATTCTGATAGTTTTGAATGCCACGATACTGGCATTGCGGCACGCACGTGTTAAGAGTGGTCGGCAGGGCCTGTCGTCAGTTTTGTTTAATATGCACGCCTTAAAGCTTCCCAAATGGTGATGTCTGTCATCTACAGTGAACCATTTGTGATACGGAGGTACTGGGGCGAGAATCGATATAGGAACCTCACTGAATCTACAGTTGAGAAAGTCTGTTAAGATTTCTTTCACCTTTGGCATCTCTTGCAATGGACGAGGGGCAAGCCTGGAAGTTATAACATGGAACATTCTCTGATTACCCGTCAGCCATCTTGGAAAAAACTGATCACTTGGTGTCACCTTATCCACGAATGCTAATTATCAGCATTTAAATAAATATACCAGTGCAACGATAATATCACAATAATAAATTATTATTTATCTTACCCGTTTTTGTGTGATGAGCCCGGAAAAAGGTTGTACTTTAATAGCCATTCCACTGCCCATAGAGGCTCAAAGTAATAGAAGGCGCTGGGGTTGTAGTTGAAAAGGTTTCCAAGCCAAGACGAACCCGATCTGGCGTATGTTAAGATAATCACTTGTTTCCCTGTGTTTTTCTTGACATCTGAAATATGAAAAAGCACATGTACGCCTAAATGTAAAAATAAAAACCCGGATATTTCCCATTTTCTTAAATCATGAGTTTTAGATGCTACGTATAGATAGATTGCAATAGAATATAGATTAGTTGAAAAGTCTTAGTTGGTGTAAAAGTGGAACTTAAGATTGAACTAATATTTCCTCGACTGATATTTGCCTGCCCAACTTAGATAAGAGCTCTCTTTCAAGAATCAACCAGGTTTTGTTTATACACATTAATTAGTTTTGTTTATACATAGTAATTACTTGTTTGTGGGTATTTTTTTTTTTTACTGTTGATGGTCAGTTCAGATTGACATGACACAATGGATACTCAGTAGTACAGAAGGGTGACAAAAGTCTTGCATCATTTTGCTTGAAGATGGACAACAGATGGGTTTATTTGGTTTTGCAATTGGTGTTTTATTGAAAAGCTATTATGTTAAGTTAGTATATTTTACTACAGGTTTAAAGACGAGTGGTATGCCCTTAAAACGCATGCTAATGTATTTTGTCTATACAGTCTGACCAGACACATCTTGGGGACATCTACACAATCCTCACTCAGAGATACAATTTCTTTTCTGTGTTCACGTGAGCTCCCGTTTTTTCACCATAGAAGAAACTTGACAGAAATTGCAAAACATTTGAAAAAACATTCGATAACACATGGATGAAGAGTCGTCACTGGTTACGTGAGCAATGCCACATGGTGCAATTTCTCACAGATGATCCAATAAATTTGTTACCCCTCTGTAGATATATATTACAGAGCAATATTAAACATACCTTTGACCGATTCTCTGTATCTGCTTGAGTCAGGCAAGAAACCTGCTTGGGATGTGTACACGTTTTCTCGTATACAGTACAAACAAATAAACATTAACACAAACGCCAGTGCAATCCACCTTGGACAAGTGTATATGCATTTACCTTTCATTTTAACTTCATTTACGAAGTGAAGCTTCATTTATTAATATGCCGCGTATATTTAATCATTGATCAGAATAAGGTGATGTACGGGTATTATTTATGGACAGGCTGACAAAAGGCCGTTATAAATTTTCTAACAAATCCACAAGTGTCATCTATCAGTCACTGACTTCTTTAACATAAATATTAATATTGTAATGGTCGTGCAACGGTGTAAGGCCCCATTCCCATAGATGCCATCGTTCTGCCTGGATCGACCCAGCTCTGTGGGGACTCTCACTGATTGCAATCAGCTTAAGTGAATGACACACCTCCTCCTGGCGTTCAGTAGAATACAGAACAAGTTGTGATTATACGAGTACGTGAGAAACAGGAGGGGATTAGGCTGGCAGTTAAACTGATTGCACTTAGCGAGAGTCTGCAGAGTTTGGTCGATCCACGGAGACTGATTGTGTCTATGAGAATCGGGGCTTTGTCTGTCTTACCTGTGCTCATGAAGGAAGAATGCGGGTTTTATTTGATGCGTGTTGTAATGCAGATTCCGCCCTTTTGTATTCTATCTTTAACTGAGTCTTAGGCAGGCAGGTCTACTTAATTTAATCTATTTCTTCATCTGGCATTTTGCAAACTGGGGGCATTTCCACCATTTCCAGCTTCTATTAGGCCCAGATCCTAAGGTTGTTCTTCTGTGGTCCATTAAGCATCACGATGCTAACGGGATATAACATTCAGCTTGAACATTGAGCTATCTCAAGTTGTGCATTAATACACGATCAAAAATACTAATAGTAGCTTAAAGGGCGATTTAAATTTTCATGTCATTTGGTTAATTTGATTGCACACATCGAGACCCCCTGCAGATTTGGATCGATCTGCGTAGACCGATGGTGTCTATGGAAATGCGGCATAGAGTTCAAGTTCAAAGTTCATTCACAGTGTTGAAAATGCATAGAGTTTTGTAACAATCTAACCAATGCTGCGTTGATGTAGAAAGGTTGATGTAGAAAGGTTATTGCGCTGTTTTATTCTAGTATGCATGTTAGTATAGTAGAGTATAGTTGCACCAGGTTTTCTTTCATTCTTATTTTTTCTGCTAATCCCTGCTTTACACCTTATCCCTGCTTTACTTTATCTATATTCTTCCCCGAAAAAAAATGCACGTATTGTTGATTATTTTCTTTTTATCTTTAAAAATAATTTTATTGATGCGACGCCCTAGCTGCACTTATCCGAGTTGAATATAATAGCAATCTTTAATTTAATTTATGATCCAAGTTGTGAAGCGGGAGCGGTCATTCTAAAATGTATTATTATTTTAGGAGGAGACAAACGAGAAACCAAGACAGATATCTGTACAGTGGAGAAAATGTAACGCTTTATCGAGGAGACAGGTAATTATGTAAAGTTAACTGATATAAATTAAAATACACACCAAGATACAATAAAGCGGCAAGAAATAAATAAATACATAAATAAAGATAATAAATAAAAAACGAGGGCTACGGTATTCCTAACCGTTTTGAATAGTAATCAAAAAGCCATGATATCGGACTTCTTGTAATTTTTCAAAAGTTTTTAGCCATACACACGCGCACACTCACACACACACACACACACACACACACACACACAGTTGCCTTGTGTAAGTGTGCACTTGTATGTATCCGTGCCCGTTTGTCTTTCTTTTAAATGTACTTTTAAAAGACAACACATGTATTATAAGGAGGATGAGAGGTTTTCTTTGTGTATGTATTTTGAAGACAGCATCTCATGACATGTATAATATATTTTTTTCTTTATTGTAAACCAAAGTATCCGCCATTGTTTGACAGGCCTATGTTGGCTGATTGATATATAGAAATGTTTTTTGTTTGGTTGGAATGTATCAGAACATTCACAATAATGTTGATTCGCGGACTGATTAGTCCAGGTATCAAATATGGCGCTCACTTGACAATAGATTCCCGCACCCCCACACGTGCCTTTCCAGCAGGGGCAGAGCAATTAAATCTCCACACGCTTTCAAGTGGGTGGCGCCATATTTGATCCGTGGATCTGTTAGTTCGCAGATCAAATTGTTCTGAATGCGCCCTATGTTGGTCTGGTCAGTCTTAAGCATAAGTATAAAGCATGGCATGAAAAACGATCACTACTATTTTTTACTTCAAAACGGACTGTTTCCCTTTTCCAGTGAGTCACCATACGATGCGCCCGCTGATGAGACTGCGGCTATGCAGCCGTATGGAGAGAGAAAGTAAGTCGTCCCTCTAAAAATGTTGACGTAAAAAGACCACAAAAACGTGGAATGGGATTTGATTTTGATTTTCGTAAAAGAGGTGTTTGAGTTAGCAGATATTTGGAGCAGTCGTTTATAAGAACGTTTGAAAAATTACGTTTGAAAAATGACTGATTTGTTTTGATAGAAATCTGTTATTTAATTTGTAGGCCTATTGGGTGTGATACCTCTCATGTTCAGTTCCAACTTTATCTCAGGCATACATTTATATCACATTGCCTACCTTTGCTTTAAAAAATAACTGAAAAGAACGACAATTGTGATTCGACTTTGATCGTGTAGTTAAGTGTATTATACAACGCTGTGATTCCTTTTGCTGCTCGGCCACTAGTTTTTATTTATCAACGAAGTCTATATATGCCTGTTTTGTGTGTAATTGTCGATAAGAACATCACTTAACTTTACTCTTCGTTCAGTTTTTCTCTTTATTGTCCTCACAACTTATTAATTAATTAATTAATTTATTTATTTTCAGCGAGAATATTTACGAGAGCATTCCAGAGCTGGATAAAAAGAACTCCTTCAACAATCCAATTTACGGAAAGGAAAAGGCAAACATGGCCAATGGCGAACCCTCAAAGGGCAGTAAATGAAGCACAAATGCATTACAAGACCTTTCATGGGCACTAGTTCGGAACCATTATTGCTCGGGAATCTCCGTATCGGTCGGTCTTTTCCGCGTCACGGAGAATTCCGAAAATTCAGCGCTGAGAAGCGCATTTGCTTTTCAAAACCTTTAAAGGTTCTATAGGAGAAAGAGCAAACGTATGTGGTGGAGAAATAAGGCAACTCAAGATGATAGAATTTCAATAATATTATCAAAAGGTCACTCCATATTTACGTGACCCCTAAAGAACCAAGGGTGCTGTTAAATCTACACTATGAACTTTATAAATATGGTTGTGCACAAAATTACTGAATTATTATTTATTAGCATCAAGCAAACAATGAATCTTACGACAACACATACAATTTTAATACTCTTGAGATATCCTCCAAGACCGAAAATCTCATTTTGCGATATTATATGCTTCACATTTAATTGCAGTCCGTTTCATTTTCTGATCAGGTCGCTAGCGGTGTGTTGAATAAGCGTAAACATTTAGTATTCTTCAGCAAAGGCTGATTATTTATATTATAAGCAATAGATTATAAAAGATGCTTTAAATACGACGCTTTAAAGCAGCTGAATCATCAAATCTATAAATTTTGTATGTATAGGATTATCGTTTATCAAGGGAGTCCCTGCTTTTGGGTGATTTTGTTCTTACCAATTGCTTTTCAGAATCGTCGCTTGATTTGGCAGTAGACATGTATAAGTCACTGACTAAATTAAAAAAAAAACATTCTGCTAAAATTAATCTAATTGATATTCTGTATAAATGCTTAAGATGAATGACCTACGCAAAGGTTAGCCAATTGATGGTGTATTATTATGTTGTCACAAAACCAATGTTTGGATGAAGTGTACGCGTGAGTAGTAAATAACGGTGAACCTGGACACATTAACTTTTGAATGAATTACTTTAATTATCAAGGCAAAGGCAAAGCCAGAACATGCATATAGCTCGGTTTATTCTTATTTGCTTTCAATTATTTTTACTGAATGGCATATACTTAAAGATTCACAGAGTTGAAGAACACAATATTTACTATCTACTTATGTTTATAGGCACTTTTTATCGGGTGCGGGTCACTCGATTCACCTGCTGCAGATATCTTTTATTTAATACTCAAACTTCGATGAACGTTAAAAAATTTTTCACACTCTGAATTTTCATTAAGCACTATATGATAAACTTAAAGCGTTTTGGCAAAATTTATAGGCAATGCAAATATTTCCGTTTAAGTTGCCTTAATTCATTGCATTTACTAGAACTGCATGAGTTTACATACTTTGATTAACGCTATGGGAATTGTTACTTTTTCAAAACTTACATTGCTTACTTGATTACATGTGGATGTATTAACTTCAGCTTATATCATAACAGTGATATTTTGATTAATGCCTATTGGCAATAAACGAGTTTTTCTTTTGACCGATGAACACGAGATCTTCGGCTTAAGAAACCTTACCCAAACCTTACTCGCTATTCTGAGCCAATAAAACATCGTGCAGACGTGTTGTCACGTGCGATTGCTTTCTGAAGACGGTCGACCCTGCAGGAATCTTAATCAGAAAAATGGAAACTCCCTTGTAGTAAACAGAGAGGTTTATCATCAAAATGATAAATGGGTATTTTATGTATAAGAAAATGTTGACTATCAATACCATCCACGTTTATGTTTTTCATTCACAGTTTTCCTTTTTTATATTTTATGCAGTTTCAAATGATAAATGTGGCTTAAGAATAAAAGAATAAATTGATGATGTTGTTTTGTTTTGAAGCATTTTAATTAAAGTCCGTGGGGATATTTGAAGGTCCAACCAAAAATCTCTGATAAATTAATACAGATAACCGAGTATCCAGAATTAAAATTGACCAATTAACTGTCCCCATTACATGAATATATACCGATAAATGTTACTGATAATATCTTAATTGCTGCCCATGGCATGTTCTTCCCACATCGTATGGCAATGATTGTGATCTCAGACAAAACAATTACGCTATTTACGCTTCAAAGATGGTCCTCTTGAAGAATTTGGTTAGCATTATAAAATCATTATTTGTCTAATATGTTGTAATTGCAAGGTTAGAGCAAAATCTGAATGTAAATGCGTTGATTGTGTAGAGAAAGTATTGCTATAAGCTGTGGCTTTCCAACCCTTTAATAATAAAATAATAAAAGATGCAGTGTTTGATAAAATAAATACTAAAAAAAAGGTACGCGTATTACATTTGCACTTTGTTAAATACAAAAACGTTACCTTTAACATTCTGAAATTCCAAATCAACAAAATTGTGAATATGGAAGCGATATCAATAAACCCGTGTATGGAACATGAACTTAATTTGCCTTATTTAAAACAATGAAGCTGAATTTGTAGTATTGTAAAGTGTACGTCCGTACAAAACATGCAATTGCAGGCCGCTGCCTCTCGGATGAAAACGGATTATTTAAAATTCAAGTACTTTGATGTTTTTTTCCACTGATTATCACACTCGAATTTGAAAATTCTTTCATGACCATAATTGGGATAAAGCAGGTCCTCACTTCATCCCTTTGAACAATCTGATTTCGACCCTATAAAACTAATTTAATGTCTGCACCCTATCCCAGGAGGCTACATGTGCTGGTGTTGTATTATCAAATGGAGGTTTATCAAAGAAGCTTCAAAAATCACGACAGAGAGCATTGAATAAAGATATATGCACACATATACGAGTATTGAGCTTATTGAATTTTGTCTGTCTTCTGTCTTATTCCAATTAAAACTCATTGTACTGCATGTACAATATCGGTCCTCTGGTACATGTACGCCACGCAAGTAATGCCGGTATTTATCCGGTATTTGAGCCGTCAAAGCGGGGCGAACAAAGTGTTAAATTCTATTACTTCTAGATCGCGTCAAGACGTCTAAGACATTAACCTTTATATTACTGTGGATTTCAATTAGACGAAAACGTAAATGATGCTTAAGTGCACGTTTTGAGGTCGATTTCATATTTGGCTCAGTTATGGTGTTGGCATACACTGTACCAGTAACGACTCTATATTGAATACTTTGAATCAGCCAAGGGTTTTAGTCTATTATCTTATTGGTCAACCCGTGGATAGAGTATGGCATGGAAATGGAGGTCAGTAACGAAGACAATTTTTATGGTGCTTTCGTCTGTCTTCATGTTGGCTTTAATATACAGAGGTTTCCTGGGGTGGAATACTGTCTTCCTCCTTCCTGCGGAGAACGACAATATCCACATCCGGCCCACTCCAAGGAATCAGACAGTCGATAAACGGATATATGACGATGGTGACACTGGGAAAATTACACAGGATATCACAGGTAATAAGTGAACTTTACCTAGGCCTACAGGTATACCTGAGTGCGGCTGAGACCTCGTTAACCTTGAAAACCGGCCTTGCGTAGCCTTATATTTCTACAATATGTTTTTGTGAATAGGGTTAATGGGGGAGACGAAACCTGATGTTTTGTGTTAATGCAGCTAGGATATAAAGTAATTAATATATTTGATGGCATACTACAAAACCACCATGCACGAAAGCATTGTATTGTTATGTATTGTGTTGTGTTGTATTGCACTGATTTGCATCCCATTGTTTTGTATTGCATGGTGTAGTATTGTATTGAGTAACATTTATCATTTCAGGTTCTCAGAATGTATCAGCGGACAAAGTGATCCTGATGACGTACGGAAGAACCGGGTCCACGTGGTTTGGGCACTTGTTTGACTACAACCCCAACGCTTTTTATTATTTTGAGCCATTCCAATCGTTAAAGCGACATCTTGTCAGGAGCAAGATACTGCGCTATCCACCTAACACGTTTAGGTAGCGCTTTGAACATATTTTATCTAGAATATTGGTAGAATATTAAGAAGGATAAGAATAAGTTTAAAGGCATACTCTTAAGACCTTTACATAGCAAGACATTTTCTGTCAAGTTGATATGTTACTCTCCCTATAACACCAATTTATATACAATACCTTTCTCAAAAAAAAAAATAAAATAATAATAATAATAATAATTAAAATAAAAACAGGAAATTTCTTATTCTTAGTTTCTCATTGATATCGTCATGAGTAGAATTTACCAGGCTAGTCAATCTCAAAACGTGTGTCCGTATGTACATGTACTGTGGTATAATTTCTAAAAATTCCCAGAGATACATAAATGGTCAGGCGCATCTCCTTAAAACTTTTTAATTCACCTAGTCATATCTTCTTTTCAGAATTTTATCAAGCAAGGATAACATACTCCCAATGATCACACAGATTGCAGATAGTTTTTTAAACTGCAGATTTTCTGAGGTACCATTACAGATATTAGCCCCAGACCCCCCGACCCATATGTCTTTTACAGACGAGGGAAGACACAAGCAGCTGACATCTTACAAAACATGCATCACATCTGGCAAAGATGACGCTTCTTGCGTCCCGTTATTATTATCTGCGTGTCACAACGCCAGCATAGTCGCCTTTAAAACTCTCCGCATGAAAATTGAAATGGCGGAGGAACTACTTACAAAGAACCCGTCGTTGAAAGTTTTGCATTTGGTGCGTGACCCACGAGGTGAGTCCATCAAGATGTACGTTTTATTGCTCATAATAATACGATAAACTTGTGAAAATATTATGGATTTCAAATCGATCTCCCCTCCCCCCAACCTAAAAGCAAATCAATCAAGTATTTTTGTTATACGTGCACATGTATAACATCTGCAATGTTTCGTTTAATTACACTTCAGCAGATTTTACCTGAGCCAAAATAGAATATATATATATATATATATATATATATATATATATATATATATATATATATATATATATATATTAAATTTTTAAGTTATTAACGTTAAGAGTAATTGCCAGAGCTAAAAATCTGTTTTGATGTAGATCGCTCGCCTAGAGACACGATAGATTTAATTTAGAACGAACCTGGCATATGTACGACCGAAAATCAGCATTCTTCAACTTTTCAGAATGAAGTCATGCTGTGCATCCACTAGGATGGTTGCAAAATTTTCATATCAACATTAAAGTGTGTCACCTGAAGGTATTCATCTGTCTAAATTATGGGGGGATCCAGGGTTTGGGTGGGGTTGGACGGGGGGGGGGGGGCCGTAAACAAGCTTTGTTTCTCTTTTCTTGGAAAAAATGAAACAGTATAAGAGGAGAACTTTACTAAATTAGTAAGTAGAACACATGGATTGCAGATTGCTTTTAGGAAGGGGAAGGGGGAGAGGAGTTTCCTCCGAAACTGAGAACGAGAATGAGGAAGAGCCTGGGTCCGCCATTGAAAATAAATGGCTTTTTTTACATTGCTCACTTTTTTTTCATCCGTTTTTTTTCTCTTTTACTAAGCAATGCTCCTGTCCATGGAGAAGACGTTCCCCTATTACAGACAATTCGAAAACCAACCAGTGGAAGAACGACCTCACGCTGACGTGAAAGGTATTTGTGGCGCCATGGAAGACAATATCAAATCTTACATCAAATTAAAATCAAAATTTCCGGAAAGAATTCAAGATCTTCGTTACGAAGATATGGTACAAGATCCAATGGCCAAAGCCGTAGAGGTTTACAAATTTCTTGAACAACCGATGCCCTCAGTGGTTCGAGACTGGGTTCGGAATAGCACCTCGTCCAATGTTGACAACGGTCCCTATGGGACATCCCGCGTCGACCCAGTTCAGACTGCTTACAAATGGATACCTTCAATTTCGCCAAAGTTTGCTAAGATGATCGACGTGGAATGCAAAATGCCGATCCAACATTATGGATATGGAAATTTCTTTGAATTGAAATTGAAATACGATCTCCCTGACAGTTACAGGACTGAAAAGCTGCATTTTTGACAGATATTTGATAGATATGAGTCATATGACATTCTATCATTGTGCCCACCATGCGCTCGCATAAGAACAATCCTGCGTCATTTGATATTAAGTATGTGTAGAAGAGTGTTTTACACCGAAACTTACTGCACAAATAACTCTTCACTTGCATCTCTCTGTTATTTGAGGTCAGTCAACTTCGGTTTTATTGCTCAGTATAGTTTTATCACAAAGTTATGGTCACTTTATGGGCCTACGGAATATAATCTATACACAGTAATGCAAATAATATGATGTCCCATTTAGTAACTAGTGAGTGATTCTCTCTCTCTTTCTCTCTCTCCGACTGTGTGTGCGTGTGCGTGTGAATGCGTGTACTGAAATGTCTCGTTCTAGAGGCATCACCATCCCTTTAATCAACTATATTAGTAATTAAGTCTCGTTTTAATCACTGGGTTGATTCAATAAAGAAGAATGTAAACCAGAAATGCGGTGCATTGTTTGTCATTCGATATGTTAATTTTTCAATTCAAGGAATTCACTCTGCTGGGCATTTTTTAAGGATAACTGTTTCAAATATAAATGAATATGGCAACGACATCCATAAACCCATGTCATTAACACGTAACTAAATTTGGCTTATTTAAAACACGCAAGCTGTATTTATCGAGGTAGAACAAATTATATGTCCAATACGTACAGGTTGCTAGCTCTTGTGTAGAGATGATTCACATTCCCAGAAATGCACTGACGTCACGTGACGTGACGTGACATTACGTCACGCCTAGCCCACTGCGCATGCGTGCATTTTTAATGCCAGATTGCCATAGGAAAATGAATGGGTTCGCGATTCGTAGGTAATTCGTGAGAATTGACAAACTAACGGCCTGATGCCGATAGACAGCAACGCTGTGCTATGCTTCAAGCAACTCCTGACCAAATATCGCTAGGGTTTTTAAAAAAATTCTGTTGTACACACGAACTAAGAAGTTTGCCGTATATTGCCTAGACTACCCTCAGCAAAACGCAAATATTTTCAGTTATAGTGATTTTAGACGGTAGATTCACTCAGAAACAAAGGGAAATTAATTCGTTGCCGATAGCACCAGCTGATAGCAGTAACATACAGAGTCTGATTAAAAAAATTCATGGCAATTGAAGATTTTTTACCACTGTACAATGGAGTCCAAAAATAGCACTTGGCACAAATGTAAAACTGCCCAGTGCAAGGCCAAGAATTCAATCAGTATTTTCAATCATATTATCAGATTCTACATAAATTGACTGACCATATCACTACTCAGTATTTAACTAATCTCTTAATCCAAAATTCCTATCATCATTTAATAATTATGCAAAATTCTTCTTTCAGATTGCTATTTATTTAAATTTTTAATGCTGCAACTGTTCCAAAATAATCTTGTAGTAAAGGAAAAATGCAAATAAGAAGTGGAAGACCAATTTTACCCACAGTATTCAATTATTTGAATATAAAAAGAATAAGATCACGATTTAACAAATTAAAATAATCTTTCATGAACTCTTTCATGAATAACATATAAAACAAAAATGAAAGTTATAAATCAGTGGTAATGGCTTATTCTGGAATATATGACCTCTGTACATCATCAGTACCTGACTTGGTACATTATAGTTACTACTTGGATACAGAGTTAGATTTAATAATGTAACAATAAGAACAATATATATTATAATAATAAACTTCTCTGCACATATCAGACGCTTGTTACCATGAACCAACACTACTTGACAATGGGCTGAGCACTTATCACAGAGTCTGTGTGCGATGCCATTCTTGTGCTGTGATTGGTTAGTTGAGTCACGTGAAGCCCTACTGTTGCGCCCTCGCGTATCGCGTAAATGCTGCACATTTCTGGCCATGTGTGGTTCAGGTACCTCGGTATTCTCTGTGGTCCACAGATTATCACAAACTAAACTTTCTAAACTTTTTTATGACCATCATTGCGCTAAGAGAAGGGCCTGTCGTCTACTCTCTGAACAATCTGATTTTGACCTCCCCTCAAAAAAAAACTATTATACATAGACCAAATGCCTGCACCCCTTCCCCAAAATGTATCTTTATGTATTGTATCTCCCATTGGCGGTTAATAAAAAAAAAAAAAAAAAAAAAAACGGCGCTCATAATCAGTACAGACAGCATTAAGTAAAGATATACATGCACATGCTTATATACGCACGAGTATTATGCTTGTGTTTCACTTACTCCATTTGATCTTTGCGGGCTTTCTTAATGTTACTGAATATTTCAGCTAGTTGACTCATTTTGTTTCAGCTAGTTGACTCATTGTACACTACATGCACATCAGCATGTGTCTTGTAACGCCTTTATTAGGGACCATTCTCAGACCCAATCGTACTAGTTTTGGATCGATCTATCTCCTAGGGGATTCTCACTAAATTGCAATCAACTTAAGCGGCTTAGTTGTCTGTCACGCCTACTGAAGCTGATAGGGGATAATAAACTATCGTTGAACAGCTTCAGCAGGCGTGTCAGACATCTAAACCGCTTAAGCTGAAAGCAATGTAGCAAAAAACCTCTGGAGATGGACCGATCCTGTTAGATCTATCTACAGGTATACGTAGGTATGGGAACCCAGTCTTAGCCCAGTTCTGAGCCGTTGGAGCGAAGCAAACAGTGTTAATTACTATGACTTCTAGACCACATCAAGACATTTAACACATTTACCTTTCTATTCTTCTGGTCTTTAAGTAGATATAAAGTAAATGCTGCTCATGCACATGCATTGATATTTATTTCATGCATTTGGTTCAATCATGGTGTGGACATACCAGTAACCACCGGCCACTGAATCTTTAACCCTCCAAGTGCTACACACTTATGTTTTATTGGTCAACCCGTAGATACACCGAGTATGGCATGGAAATGGAAGACAGTGTTCATGGCGCTCGCATCTGTCTTCCTCTTGACTTTAATATACAGCTGCTTATTGGGGTGGAATACTATCTCGTTTCTTCCAATGAAGAGTCACAATATCAAGGTCCTGCAGCCCCCATCAAGAAATCAGACAGTCGATAGACGGAAACATGACGATCCTGACACTGGGAAATTTCCAAAGGATATCACAGGGGGTAATATATATATAAATATATATATCCCGATGGCATAGTACTGGTACAACTACTGTGCAGAGGAAATTATTGTATTGTATTGTATTATATTGTATTGCATTGTGGTATGTAGCAATGCTATGTGTTGCGTCGAATTGTCTTGTATTGCTTTGCATCCCATTGTTTTATCTTGCATGGTGTAGTATTGATTTAAATAGCATTTCTTATTTCAGGTTCTCAGAACATATCTGCGGACAAAGTCATCCTGATGACGTACGGAAGAACAGGATCCACGTGGTTCGGGCACCTGTTCGACTACAATCCCAACGCTTTTTATTATTTTGAGCCATTCCAATCGTTATATCGCCATTTTGAAAAGAACAAAACACTGCGCTACCCCAGTAACACGTTTAGGTAGCGCTTTTTACAAATGTCATTAAAAATATAGCGATCATATTAAGCACATGTCAAAAGTTCAAAGGTATACCCTTAAAACCTTTATATAGCAACACAAAATGTTTTTTCATGAACATTAGAGCAACTTTCCCTATAGCACCAATTTATACCTTACTCATAAACGATAGGAAATTTCAAACTACCAATCTTTTCTTTAGTAATTAGTTTCTTATTTTAATCGTAATGATTGAAATTCACCATCCTTAATCTCCACAGCGGCATTGATTCAAAACGCATGAGGTAGTGGACGGCCATATAAGCACGTACAAGTACATCTCGTATAATTTCTAACAATTCTTGAGTGATTCTTGAATGGTCTACGTGACCTTAAATCATTTAAACATATCAAGTCATAATTTCTTTTCAGAAACGTATCAAACAAAGAAGACATACTGTCAATGATCACTCAGATTGCAGACAGTTTTATAAACTGCAGATTTTCTGAGGTACCATTAGAAATACTGGCCCCAGACCCCCCGAACCATATGTCTTTTGTCAATGAGGAAAGACATAAGCAGCTGACAACCTACAAAACATGCATCACATCTGGCAAAGATGACGCTTCTTGCGTCCCTTTATTATTATCTGCGTGTCACAACGCCAGCTTAGTCACCTTTAAAACTCTCCGCATGAAAATTGAAATGGCGGAAGAACTCCTTACAAAGAACCCGTCGTTGAAAATTTTGCATTTGGTGCGTGACCCAAGAGGTGAGTCCAACAAAATAGGCGTGTATGGTCAATAATGAAGAGAGAAACTTGCAATAATATTTTAGCGTTCAAATCTTATACTGGGCGCCGAAAAGAGATATTTTGAATGTCAGTTGTCTGGAAACTGTAGCCATCTGGCGTCGCCAATTAAAACGAACAAATGCCAGGGCCGAAGAGCTACATGTTCGCTCTAAACCTTTTTTTTAATGTGGGTTTAGACGTTCAATGTGAAATGACCTGGCCCAGACACGATATATTTAATTTAGATTTAATCAGGTATAGAAGCCAGCATACAATAGATGTAGCCATGCTGTGCATCCACTACATTAATTGCAAGGTATTCCGTAAAGCATTTAAACAACGCGTTATCCACAGTGTATAATATTCTATGGAAAACATTGGCGGATCCAATTTATTAAAAAGTAGAAGAGGATTATCTTATTACAAATTGTGGAGCACAATGATGGGAAATTGCTTGTTTCTGTCTAGTAAATGAATGTCATTATATCGTTAAAGAGGGAGGGGATCTTCCTAAATAAGGTGCATCAGCCCGTTCCCTGAACCGTTTTTGTAAGTGAATTATATTTCTGTTGCTTATTTCCTTTCTTTTTCACATTTTTCGTCGAATAAGCAATGCTCTTGTCCATGGAGAAGACGTTCCCCTATTATAGACAGTTCGAGGACCAACCAGAAGAGCAACGATCCCACCCTGAAGTGAAAGGCATTTGTGCTAGAATGGCAGACAATATAAGAGCTTATATCAAACTTAAATCAGAATTCCCAGACAGAATTCAAGATTTTCGTTACGAAGACATGGTACAAGACCCAATGTCCAAAGCCGTAGAGGTTTACAAATTTCTTGGACAACCGATGCCTTCGGTGGTTAGAGACTGGGTTCGGAATAGCACCTCATCCAATGTTGACAACGGGCCCTATGGAACATCCCGCGTCGATCCAGTTCGGACTGCTTACAAATGGATACCCTCTATTTTGCCAAAGTTTGCTGAGATGATCGACGTGGAATGTAAATTGCCGATTCAACATTATAGATATGGGGATTTCCGTGAGCTAAAACTGAAATATGATGTCCCACAGAGTTATAGAACTGTGAGGTTGCATCTTTGACAGGCGCTTGAATGTGATGTCAGGAAATATGTTGTACTCCTCAATGAAACATATCCACTTTATTGAAAGGAATTACTATTTTAATGTACCGGGGTATGCACAAGTGCGTCTGATTTAGTCTTAACGTGTAATTTTAGATCACAAACAATGTAACACGGTCATAAATCATGAGTAAGACCATTACTGGACTGACTTCCAATTACATGTAAGTTGTTACGCAATTGTTTCCCCTCATACGTTCTCCTATTGTGAGCAGAGGTTCCCTCCATTGTGAGGGGAGGAAGTTGATTCACCATTTCAGTAGATGTTAGATAGTTTTTGATCTTAAAAGCAGACGCCATCCTTTTTAAAACTTTTGCTGCAATGATTAAGATCGCGTAAGATCATTTGTGATCGAAAATTGCACTTTAAGACTAAATCAAGCGCAATAGTGATGGGTAATGAACACTGAAGTACCCCCTACTTCCCCACTCTCTCCATCTTTCCCCTTCCCTTCCCACTCCACCTTAACAAAAACACTTGAAATGACACAAAAGCAAATAGGGTTTCTATCATAGTGCGTTACATTTTGTACTTTTAATTAAAATTTCATCTCTCCCACAGTTTTAAATTTATATCAAAACACTGTATCATTTTGTCTTAGCTTTCGTAGGCAAAATATTGGATCCACCAATTTAACGTGTGTGTAGAAGACTGTTTTTTAACTGAATCATACTGCAGAAATAATTGTTCACTCGCCTCTCTCTGTACTTTGAGGTTAGTGGAATATATTGCTCAGCTGTAGTTTGATCGTAATGGCCAGTTTTATGGACCCAGAGAATATATCTCTTAAAAAGAAATGCGAATAATGTGTTCCGCTTGGTGACGAGTGAGTATCCCTCTCTCTCTCTCTCTCTCTCTGTTAAATTGTCTCGTTCTAGAGGCACCACCATCCACTTAAACACCTACAGTAACTGTGGTGTCTTTTTTTTAATCTGTTTTAGGACTGCGTAAAAATATTAAAACAAATAATGAAAACACATACTGCATTGCATTGTTTGTCATTTTATATCCTCATTTTTTAATTCAAGGAACGTGCTCTAATGAACATTTTGAAAAATAGCTGTTCCAAGTTTAAATTAATAATAAATAAATACAAAAATTAATTACCTTAAATCAAATACGATAAATTCGCTCTCAACGTCAGCTGAAGAGAAGTATATATATATAATAACACCCATTTTTCTTTCAAGCTACTTCTTTGACCCAAATAACAATCATTAAAACTACTAATAATTTATATACTTTTACATTGTATGTCTCTCTTTACCTCTTATTCCCAGTGCCATTTCTTCTTGACATATATCTAAGGCATACAGCTGCACAGATAACTTAAAGGGATAATAACTCTTCGTTTTTGCCAAAAATTGAATTTTCCTGGAGTAAATAACAATTTCCCCATACTTACCAATGGTTAATGAATCCATTTTTACATTCAAAGTTAGTCCCTGGTTTTTTTCTAAAAAGTTTAGTCTTTTGTTAAAATCTCTTAAGTTAAAAGAGATTATAACAGAGTATAGCCATCAATGGAGGTCACGTGGTCTGAAGCCAAGCTCAGATATCAGAATAATAGCTATAACTGCCGTTTTTGTCGTAAAACAGAATATATTATATTTCTATGAGTTATTCACAAAGTTTTTATTGGGAAATATAGACCTCACACGAAGAGCTATTATCCCTTTAAACAATCGCTAAATCACGATTACAGGTACATGTATGTACCTCTGAAAACGTTGGTTTGCTACACATATATTACACATCAGGACAATTTAATTTTTTTGAAATATACTAATAGCCCATATCTTTAATGACACAGAGAACATAAACAATCGCTTTAACGCGATTATACAATATTTGCACATTTAATACGAATATGTCATTTAGTTATATGATTTATATCTATAAATTAAATAAGTCATATCACATTTATTCTATATTCCTTTTTGCATGAAGTCTACATTTGCACAGGTACATATAACTTAAAGCATCGCTAAAACACGATCTGAGCATATAAATATATACTGTTTTGTCACTTCTATAATAAGTACGATAGATATAATTTATAGTGGTAATTGCACATATAACATCTATAATCGCTAAAACGCAATTAAATGCGAATGAAAATATCGTTTTTGCATATCTATGAAATGCACATGAAATCAATGAAATACAGCTTCATTAAATGTACATGTACAACATGTAACTTAAAATAAAATACGATTGAACGCGTTTGTACTAGTTCAGATAAATAAATAAGGCATTATACTGATGCATCTATGAAGATCTACTATAAAAATGTAACTTATTTACTTCTTAAAGATCTATACGGTGCTTTCATATGAATCTACTAGTTCAGATGTAATGGCCTTAAAGGCAAAGAGAGTAAATTGCACCTGGGTAAAATAAACCAGATTTAAAAAAATCGATTATCACTGAAGTACATGTATCTTAACAGGACTAGCCGTGATAAAACTTTTTGTTGCCTGATGGCCTTGGTTTGAGACGAGAAAGAAAATATATCTTTTTACCCAGTGCACAACAATTCACTCCTAAAATAAAGGGTCATTAAAATATTTTTCACAGAGACAACAACAACAAACAAACAAACAAAAAAAAAAAAAAGATTAAAAAGCTAGTACTTTTTGCATTGATCACCGATGAAATATTGCCTCTTAAAGCACTTAATACGTTACTTAAAAGTCTTAATACGTTACTATTTGTTGAACGCAGAGTATGATCCGAGATGGGGCTGGCTTGGAGACGACTTCCATAAAAAACTTCCCTACAGCGTGGACTGTTAAGAGCTCATGATCACTCCTGTTCTTCATTCAAGTTGAGATAAAATTTCATCATATTTACTCCTAAGTTTGTCATATGGCGTGTAGTTGAAATACTTCATTCCATGGGAGCACTCGTTCTCAACAAGCTCCACAAGTTTCAACGGGATGGTGGGAACCCACTTGTACGCAGTCTGAGCGGGATCCGTACGTGACGTACCAAAAACACCGTTGTCTTCTTTCGCTGAGGCGCTATCCCGTACGAAATCTCTTACTTCTGAAGGCATACGATGTCCTAGAAACTGATACACTTCTTCTGCCTTTCGCACGGGATCTTTAATGGCATCCTCGTAACGAATGACAAGAATTCTTCCAGGGAACTTAGTTTCCATTTCTTGATACATGTTAGCGTTATCCCCTACGTTTTTGCAGTATCCCCGTATAAAATTAAACAAATTTATCCCAACGGGTGCTATTGTTTCGGTCCTCAGCTTTTCAAATGTTTTCCATGACGAAAGCATCGTAGCTACAAAGAAAAAGAAAAAGGGTCTGATGCAAGCTTTTGAATTTGATATTGTAAACATTACGAGTAGGATTTGACGATTAGTTTTTTTTTCATCGGAACAAAATTAATTACTTTGAACAAAATTTTATTCAAAAATTAAGTTCGTGGTCTGTATATACAAAAAGTCTGATAAATAAGTAATGAAATATATATAACAGAACACTTGGTAAAATCAAATCACCTCTAGGATCACGTATTAAGTACAAGATTTTCAGAGCCGGGTTTCTCTCCAACATGCCCGCCGTCATCCGTAAAGTCATTCGGATGGTTTTAAATGACACGATGCTGGCGTTTTGGCACGCAGATGTTAACAGCGGTATGCATGGCCGGTCGTCGGTTTCGTATAAAATACAAGACTTAAACCTCGACATCTGGCGGTGCCGCCCTCCTATAGTAAACCAACTGTGTTTTAATCCGCCAGGAGCGAGCACGGAGAGGGGGACATTTTCGAAGTGGCAGTTCAAGAAATTTTCTGTTATCCGTATTGATACTGTCGCGTCTTTTGGACCCGGTGCTTGTCTGTAAAAATGTATATAGAATGTTTGTTTTATTTTGATATTTGTTTGTTCGAACGAACAAATAAACCGACTGATACTCAATTGAAAAGTAAGCATAGGGTTTTAAAGACAAATTAATAAAGCTCTACAGATAAATTCATTTTTTAATTAACCATTAATCCAGATATTACGAAATAAAAAAGTGAGATAGAAAATTAAACACATTTTTAAAATGTTACACAAGCTAACCTATAAAGCGGCAAAAATGTATTCAAACACACACACACACACACACAAAAAAAATAATAATAATAAACTAAACAGCAGAAATGCACATAATGACATAATGGCACAAGTACAATTTCACTACAATGCTTTAAACCCCCTGTACACTGGACGGCGTCCCTTCTGCGTCCTTTGTGCGACCATAAAACTGGCATTGCTGTGGTCAAAAAAAGGAGGCACGAGCATCACTTTGGTTGCTAAATGAATCCTCAATGATCGGCTAGTTGTCGGCACGTGGAGTATTCTTTATTTTTACTCTCAAACGGGGCCGTTCTACGTGGACGCAGAAAGGACGCCGTCCAGTGTAAAGGGAGCTGGTCTGTTTTAGAAAAGAGCAACGGCCATTTTTGAACACAAGACAATGACGAACCCACCCCTAACCCCATCTTAGCGACCAAGGTATTCATCATTCCTCAAAAAAAAAAAAAAAAAAATAAATAAATAAATAAATAAATAAATAAATAAATAAAAAAATAATAATAATAAATAAAAAATAAATTAATTAATAAATTAATTAATTAATTTAAAAAAAGAGAGAGAGAGAGACAAAGAAAAGTCATTATCCACCGACTTCTGCAGAAACACTATAGACTTATCCAGTGAAAAAAATGAGGTCGCTATGTTTACAGCTCAAATCTGACATCAGTTCTTGGGGAAACAGGGAACTATCGATAACTGCTCACTCTGTTTTCCCTGTTGTGTATAGGAACTGTCTCCTTCTTTGGATATCTTCTTTAAGAGCGTGCAGAGGCTCAAAGTAGTATAAGGCATTAGGGTTGTAGTTCAGGAGCTCTCCCAACCATGACGAACCAGATCTGCCATGAGTTAAAAGAATCACTTGTTTGGCCGGGGTGATTTGAACATCTAGAAGAAAAAAAAAAGATCCAGCGGTCAGTGAGTGGCAACATCTGCTCACATCAGTCTGATAAACTTACGTCCAGGTTGCTCGTAAGCTAACAGTATGAAAGTTTTTTCCGCTTGTGTTTGTTAATTATTATTTATGATCCAACTACCAAGCTAATGAACATTTTTGCTCAAGACAAAAACAGAAGTAGAGACTCGAAATTGTCAAAGCGTAAGTATTTTTATTATTAGCTGAAAATCTACCGCACGTTTATCATTTAACTTAAACAAGAAAAAACTGTCTAGTGTATCCGTGCACTTTTTTACCGGTACTTTTTTTTCTGGGATGACCGGATATTTATGTGGATCTTATGCTACGTAACTTTATTGTAAGAAACAGCAATTTTGATATTCTCATTATTTTTACCAATTATCATTATTATTATTATTATTATTATTTCAATCCAATATGATAACGCCTGAACCATTTTCGAAAACCTTTTAAGCTTTTTTTTATACATGCGCTTTCCACCTCCCAGCTTAGAAATGGTGTCATTATACAAGCGTGGTTGTGTACTGCCGTTTTATTTAAAATTACACACGCACATGTAAGACAAATTTAGCTGAAAATATTCTTCTTTTATGTGATACCCAAAACAATGTGATTAAACCGAAAAGAATTATAATAAAAAAGGAAGTAATTTTTAATGAAAAGGCCGTGTGTCCTCTCTGTAGAAGACCTTCATTTAATTAACATAGTACTGGGCACTCTTTCGGGCACATTTAGAACAAATTCAAGTGAAAGACATTTCAAGTCTATTAAACTTCACATTCCAGTGATTTTCAACGCTTCATGCATTTTAGGTAAACCATTAACTTGGCATGTAATATAAAGGTTGAGAAAGATGAGGAGCCTTAATGTTTAATTGGGACACCGTATTATTTGCCTCTCCCAGGGGTTTGCGATAGATTTTCCAGGTACACAGTGGGGAAATCAAACTAACAATCTTATTTTCTGGCACTTGCATCAACAAACCGCTGGGGGTTACAAATAGCCAAAAACACCATCCAATCATCGATGAAGGATTTATGGGGACTGTACAGCGGGAATTATCTCCCCCTTTAGCTTCTAAGGCACACCCCTTTTTCCTCCTAACACACACGTAGTATATAACTGACCACACGACAGAAGACTGAATATACATATAGTGACACTATCCTACTCTGCTGCTTTATATTATTCAAGTGATAGTGATAGTTTATTTCACCCTGACATTTTTGTCATTGGTACGGTACAACAATAGTATATATACGAAATGTCATAATAAAAATAACATTAATATAATACTATTTCAAAATAACAATGATAATGATAATAACAATACTAATGAATTTAATATGAGACTTGAGTATTTCGCACAGTGACGCGAATCATTTTGTATTCTTGTCCCCCCCCCCCCCCCTAAAATGATCACCTACGTGGAAACTCACTTGGTTCTGATGTATACGTCCATTGGATCGTTCGAGTTGTACACTTCAAAGTGAAGAGACCAGCACATATAAATGTAACCAGAAATACAGTGGCTCCTATCCGGGCGATAACACTCGCCTGGCTGTTCTCATTCATAGCCTTAGTTTACCAACTGAACGCACGGTGGAAGCTAGATGTCTCCATGTATGAGGGCGACTTCCGGTAATGCACCAAATTTCCCTTTAACTTAACAGGTGACGACACTGCATGACGTTGGAGCGACGCCCTCTTGATTTTTTCTATTCTCTCTTCATACTCGCCATTTTATAACAACAACAACCAAACTGTATTTCACAGTGAGAGGCAAGTGCTAAAATTGTTGTTTTATTGAAATCAAATAAAAACATGTGTTAAGATACTTCATAGTATATTACCACTTCATAGTATAAGCGTTACTACATGTACTTCATGATAGAAGGTGACTCTCATTGGTTAAAAAATAAGGCCCCTCAGGCGACTACGGGATATTTACCACTTCATGGGACATTATATCCAAACATGTTTCAGTTCTGGTTGGATGTGGAAACCAGGTGTAAAGGTCGATATGATGTTTCATTCTAGACAGTGATTTCGAGAGTGACGCGTATATTTGCTATGGGGTGGGTGGTGGAGAAACATTACTCACTCACATGATAGTGCGTATTTTATCTCGTTGGAGTTTATTGAAGCTGTTATTTTCACATGTTCTCGCATATATCCGTGAGTTTAACTTCTATGAATAATGTACTTTATTTCAAGAGCTCCGGTCCTGTGACGGAAAGCACATAGCTAGTTCTTTGTTAAACCCATTTAGTTTTGAGATTTTTCGGATTTCAGGACGATTAAAAACTGCTAACACTGTTGTTTTAACTTTTATTGTAAGCAAATAAAAACGTGGTATCTTATAACACTGTGTACATGAAGTATTCCGTCAAATCTAACCACATTTGAAAAGAAAGTATTCAAAAGCATCTAAATTATAATTTATAAGGCTCATAAATCCTTTTCATATTTTAATAATTTAATAATTTAGTAATTTTTAAATTACATTCAAAATATTTATTCACTTTATAATTACATCATGAACTGCATTTTGAGACTAAAATTTGCTCTTGATCATCAAACTGATAACATTTGCCGCAAGTAAGCCATCAACAACTGCTGTTTTATATTATTCGAGTGATAGTGATAATTAATTTCACCGTGATATTTTTATTATTGGTACGGTACAACAATAGTATACATACGAAATGTCAAAATAATAATAACAACATAAAATATTTAAAATAACAATGATAATGATAAAAATAACTACAATGAATTTAAAATGAGATTTAGGTGAAACGAAGCCTCACTTATCCCNAAGGCAAGAGATTTCTCCGAGCAAAAAGCAAAAACCACGACGAGTTTTACCCCGTGTACATGTATATAGAGATTGAAACACTACTCGAATGAATGCAAGACAAAGAACGGAGTGGACTTATGACTTCTGCTATAACCGCGATCTTAGATAAAAAATTAATCACTTTATGCAAAGCTTTACGCGAAATACAAACTTACATGAAGGCCCTAAGTGTGGGTTTTCAAATTCCACCACACCACTTATTTCCGGGTTGTATGCGATTCAAAACTGTCAAGATAATTGACAGGTTGCGAAAAATTTCAGCAGGTGATAAAGTAGATAATTGGCCCTAAAATACGCCGAGCGTTTAAGATCGGGTGAATGTTAGCTTTAATAGACTTCGTCTCGCCTATTAAGCGTAAGGTTATGAACCTTGTACACGTACTTACATACTGCAATTTGAACCTTGAAGATTAGCTTCAAACCACGGGACCATGCCCCCCTCCCCCTTTTTTTTCTGAGTCAGTTTTGGAAAATGATGCTGTGATGATAGTCTTGGAATTTAACATCCCTTTATGTTGTGACAGAATGTTAGAAGCTAGGAAGCCTGATATAGTTGTTGTTGACAAGAGAAATAACGAGACAGAGATAGACCCCCTACTAGATAGGCCTATTGTTATTCCTGACGATTTCGGAGTAAAAGAAAGGAAAGGAAAATGTACAAAAATGTTAGGACTTAAATTTAGTGGTAAGAAGTCAACAGAATGTAGGACACAAGAGCAAGTGTAATTGTCAGCTGTGATTGGTGCTCTTGAAGCTATCTGTGGGCTGAGTGACCGGCTAGCATTACTCCGTGTTGACCCTACGAGGATGGATGTTCTAACATCCAGCAAACAGTTTTACTATAAAGGAACGGCAAAATAATCTACTTGCCTTTTCTGAATTTTACTGAGAATATATTTTGACTAAGTTTTTTCAAATATGAAGCCAATTCATAAGAAAAAAATTAAATGTGAAAAAAAAAACTTTTATTTTTAAATTTTAAAAGTGCGAAAAAGTGCTTGAGTTCAAAAAGTAAAATATCCCTTGGTAGAGGCTAAGAGTCAAATATTTAATGCAATAGTTAAAAATTCTACAGATATTTGTGATTTTGATAAAATACTGAAGCGGTCATATNAAATACAAACTTACATGAAGGCCCTTAGTGTGGGTTTTCAAATTCCACCACACCACTTATTTCCGGGTTGTATGCGATTCAAAACTGTCACGATAATTGACAGGTTGCGAAAATTTTCAGCAGGTGATAAAGTAGATAATTGGCCCTAAAATACGCCGAGCGTTTAAGATCGGGTGAATGTTAGCTTTAATAGACTTCGTCTCGCCTTTTATCTCCTCTATTAAGCGTAAGGTTATGAACCTTGTACACGTACTTACATACTGCAATTTGAACCTTGAAGATTCTATAGCTTCAAACCACGGGACCATGCCCCCCTCCCCCTTTTTTTTCTGAGTCAGTTTTGGAAAATGATGCTGTGATGATAGTCTTGGAATTTAACATCCCTTTATGTTGTGACAGAATGTTAGAAGCTAGGAAGCCTGATATAGATGTTGTTGACAAGAGAAATAACGAGACAGAGATAGACCCCCTACTAGATAGGCCTATTGTTATTCCTGACGATTTCGGAGTAAAAGAAAGGAAAGGAAAATGTACAAAATTGTTAGGACTTAAATTTAGTGGTAAGAAGTCAACAGAATGTAGTACACAAGAGCAAGTGTAATTGTCAGCTGTGATTGGTGCTCTTGAAGCTATCTGTGGGCTGAGTGACCGGCTAGCATTACTCCGTGTTGACCCTACGAGGATGGATGTTCTAACATCCAGCAAACAGTTTTACTATAAAGGAACGGCAAAATAATCGACTTGCCTTTTCTGAATTTTACTGAGAATATATTTTGACTAAGTTTTTTCAAATATGAAGCCAATTCATAAGAAAAAAATTAAATGTGAAAAAAAAACTTTTATTTTTAAATTTTAAAAGTGCGAAAAAGTGCTTGAGTTCAAAAAGTAAAATTTCCCTTGGTAGAGGCTAAGAGTCAAATATTTAATGCAATAGTTAAAAATTCTACAGATATTTGTGATTTTGATAAAATACTGAAGCGGTCATATATAGTTTTTGAGGGAGGTATAAAAAGTCCGATATTGAGGTGATATTAGGATTGTCTATTACTGCGACGACTATTGAAAAGTGTTCAGTCCTCTTCAAAGCTGAAATCAAAGTCGAAGTCCCCCACCGGAGCATCCCATTCCGGCATGTCTTCCTCGACCTCGATGTCATCACAGGGCATGTCCATTGCCATCATGCCACCTTTTGCAATGTCGTGCATCTCCATGGCCACTATGCCGCTGTCTCCCGCCTCATCATTGGGTATATCCCACTGAAGCAAGTTGTCTGCCACCTCGTCGTCTGGCATGCCCCAAGGCACAAGATCACAGTTGTTTTCGCCAGTGCCAGAAGTTGGGGCGAGTGCTGCCACCTGCTGTGTGGTAATGTGAGTTAGGCGCCGGTGCGCCGTATCCGGAGGACACCTTACCCTCTCCATGTCCTTCAGGAAAGATTCCTGTATGAAAGGAAAGATGACAACTATAAGAATAAAATAAATTCTAATTTCGAAAAACATCGATTAGATGTTTCCATAAAATCAATTATTAAAAAGCAGGTCACTGCATTTAACTTTATATTTCTGTGTGTCAATTAAGTTTTAGCCTATACTACGCTGTTTAATAAAATATAGTATAGAGATTTCATGTCACAATAAATTTGCAAATGGTTACAAGTTTCTTGCGTGATCATGAATTACGAACAGATTTAAAGCCACTGGAACACATATATGCACATCTGTGTAAACATATATTAATATAATTATACCAAAAGGGAAACCATACACAATATTTTCGTTGGTGAAATACACGGAAAATGATAAATCACAACAAAAGCACAAGCATATAAAAGTAAAGAATCGAACAAAGACGTCAGTACCTGGACAAATGCAAGAAGAGGGGAGGATCTGCAGTCTATGGGGAACACGTTAGTGTGATAGTCAGCAAGCCAACTGACAAAAAACAAAAAAAAAAAAAAAAAAAATCAAACAAAAATGTAAAAAAGATAAATAAATAAAGAAGAAGAAGAAAGAAAGAATTAAAGAAAAACAATGATCAAATACAGCAGAAAGTGAGCAAATACTGAACAAACAGAAACAAAAAAGGAAAATACCTACAAATACATTCAACTAAATTCTTCAAATAAGGTGCATGATATCAAGGTGAAAATGGCGAGAGAACCCCTACCTAAGGTGCAATATGCCAGTCACGTCCTTCACTCTCTTGACTTTATCACTGGAAATATAGGATCAACTGGACTTTAAGTAAAATATGATAACAATAAATTAACTCTGCAAACTGTTTACAATTATCTATTTTGAAACAAACAGTATTATTTATTAAATTCTTATCTGAGTCTTCTTAATGTTAAAAACTTTCCCGAGTTAATGCAAGGTTGGCCGAAATAATGAATAAATTGACCAAAAAATAAATACAAGAATAAATCAATCAAAATGCAGATAGAAAAATTCAAAGTTAAATAAACAGACAGACAAGAAGCACACCCAAAAATGATAAAAAGCAACTCACCAAATCAAGTTGTCAGCAAACTCCCGGAATGTTGGTTCTGCATAGTCGGCATGGAGAATATTTCCAGCCAGGATTTTCACTTTGATGGCTGCTCTGCCGTGTGGCTCGGCGTGCCAGAGAGGGTGTCTACAAAAAAGAAAATCGAAATTATAAAAATGCAAGTTTTTCTTCATTTTTGAGCTATTATTTACTTCCAATTGCATAAAAAAAAAATAATAATAAAAAAAAAAATAATAAAAAAAAGGAGACGAAACTCTTATTTTGATAAAAAGGAAGAAAATTCACGACCCTAGCATTAAAAACCTCATTTTTCAAATGGCCATATGTGTTAGTAATTTTTAAACTGTGATCAGATAATATATATATAGGGGCCTATTCTACCTGCCAACGTACAACTCGAAGATCATCACGCCGAGAGCAAAGTAGTCCGCCTGAGCGGAAGCGGAAGTGCGCATGAGAATTTCCGGTGCGAGGTTCTTGGTGATGGTGTAAGCTACCATCCTCGGTCCCCAGCTACTCTCTCCGCTCTCGTCACAGCGGTGGGCTGACCCCAAGTCACACTGTTAAAAGGAAATTAAAGGAATAACTGAACATGGTAGATACACATAGGCCCTACGTGTCGCTGTGTGGTCGCCATGTAGGCCTACAGTGTTACTGTTTATTTTCTTTTTGCAACACATTTTAACAAACTGAAATTAAATCACCAACAAACCTTCCTTTGTTGACATGCTGAACATAACTTAATCAGGAACTTCACACTTTTATCGTAACGATCAATGTGCAAATGGGATTCTAAGCAACGTATATGTAGGCCTATATGTAGGTCTATGTTCTGAGCATTACAGTTTTACATAATATAATAATATTGTCTTTCTTTTCATTTTGTGAATGATATCTTTGAACATTTCACGCTTTTATTATGCGATTGTAGCTCACCACTTTGGGGATGCCATTCCGGTTTATCAGGATATTATTCAGCTTAATATCGAAATGAATCAGTAGTCTATTCCTCATGAACTGCAGGGCCATACAGACAGACACCGTGATAAACTTGACAGACCTTGACTCTAGTATGCCGCTGAAAGATGGGAAAATACGTAAAGAAAATATAATGCCCATCGTATTCTTTTAAATCTTATTTATTGATTGATTTAAATTTCGCTGATTTATATACATGTAGAATCATTGCGATATCTTTAAAGTACTGTAGGAAATGTTAAAATAAGAAATGTAGGCCTAGTCTGTGAAAAAAATATGATAATGATTAAAAAAGTATGTAGACTTACATAAATTTTCTAAAAAGTTTAATATCCAAACAAAACATTTGTAGTACGAAAAGATGCAAATGGGTGATTAAAAGCAAAACAGTTTATTATTCGATAAACCTTTAAGCGAAAAAAAAAAAAAAAAAAAGCAAGCAAAGGAGGAAAAATTAAGTTGATTGTGTAAAAGTAATGAATAAAAACGTACTGATAATCGGTCAGACGCTGCAAGTCAAGTGGGCAAAGTTCTGTCAACACAACAGGTAAGCCAGGCTTTACTTCAAATGAATGGTGCAAACTAAAAGTATCAAAGGAAAATAACGTAATCAGAACTTAAATAATCACAGTAAATGAAAATAAATCTAAAAGATAAAATCCAAAAAAATTAAAATTAAAAATTAAATAAAGATAAACAATCAAAGATGAAATAAATCTTCCTCCATACTATGATATTACACCTTCAGGAAGAACTTTTTTTTTTTAATGGAGAAAAAAATAACATAAGGTGGGAACCGTCAATTGAGCGCGATTAGAATATTTACAGAAAATTTAAAAATAGATACATTTAGTTACCTCAAAATGAAATCGCTTTTGAGCTCTTTAAGAAGAACGATCTCCTTTTCAAATGCTTGAGCCCTTTCGATGTCCACCGGCACTTTTAATGCCAAGTTGTTTGAAAACTAAAATAAGAACATGATTGTTATAGCCCACGCTATCAGACATGTTCCAGTCGTCTTATAAAATAATATGGCCGCCACCCCACCTCCCCACCTTGAGTTTAGGATTTGTAAAGGTTTACTGAGGCGGAAACAGTGGAGGAATGTTACCATCAGTTCTCAGGGAGACTTCACACACACACACACACACACACACACACACAGCAAAGGATATAACATAAAGAAAGAATGATCATTTCTCTAAAAATATAAACAGTTTTACCACAAAGTAAATGGTACAGAGTCTTATCATGACATAGGCCTATCTAACTAAAATAAGATTCGTTCTATATAGTTACATACAATGTGATCTAATGAAGTAATTTGAACTTTATTTCAATAGGCTTACCTTGTACACGTGGCCATAACTGCCGACCCCCAACACTTTGTTGCCAGGAAATCCATTCATGTAAAGCTTTCTAATCTGTAAATTAGACTTCAAATTTTTTTCAAACTTACCAATATAATATATTTTAATTTGTTTTTAAACGAATTAGCACAAAGTTATTGGCTTCAAGCACCGGTAAATAAAACCATTAAACATTTTCACAGAATTTAAAAAAAGGAAAGAATGTTGAAGTCTCTTCTCGAAATGTTAGTAGGCCTATTAATGTTTTGGAGGATCATTTTGCCAAATGTATTTTGCATCCAGTTGATAATTTACCTTATTCTCCAGAGCTCTCCTTTTGATGTACTTATAGGTGTGTTGAGCACCCAGAAACGCTAGATGCGAAATGATTATCATTTTAAAAAAGAAACATCACAGATTGCTTTCTTTTGTTTACGCTAAATCTTGAATCTCTGTCGTTGCCGTCTGACGTAATTCTGACGTTGCGTTACGTTTTGCTACGATCTATGGCGTCATAATATCATAACGCAACGTCATGGCAGCATTCCCGCTAAATAGGCACGTGACTATTTTGTATTTTTCAATTTTTCGACAGTGAAAGGAGTAAAACTGAGAGGATAATACACTTAGACTTAGTGAAGAAAAGAAGGAGGATTAACGCTTGCTTTTGTCTGTCCTTTGTTCCTTTACTTGCTATTTTAAGTTTAATTAATTATTTCATAAATATAATTAATTGCATCGTTAATTTAAAGATTTTATCATTAATATATCTATTTGTAATCAATATATTTAAATTAAATTCTAATCGTTTCGCCCAGGCCTTAAATAAATAAATAAAAAATAATAATAATGCTTTTTCGGGGGAGGAGGGAGCAGGATCGGTGAAATCTAACCCCCCTTTAGAAAATCCTGGATCCGTCCCTGATAATAACAATGCACCAATCAACCTTTACCATTCCTCAATACAATGTTTCATTGATAATGCTGATCCATCTGAAGAATTTGTCCCTCCGGAAAAATCAGCCATTTACATCTTTCATCGTTTGAAAAGTACGGCTTGAAAAATTGAACGTTTAGTTAAAGTATTTGTCAAATCTTAAGTCAATTCGTTATGCTGTGTTGAATGAATTAGATGCTGGATTCAATATAACCAAAACAGATTGTTTTCGGAGGGGAGGAAAGCGCTAAGTGGATGAGAACGGAAGTGACGTTTTTGTGACCTATATAGCTCCCATGCTTTCCAGGAAAACGCGTGTGGGTCGATTTCTACTTGTGTAGTTTATGAAACCGGTGATGTGATTACGGCGATTGTTCGTGGATAGTGCTAAAGGTGAGAATTTTATGTGCGACAATGCCAAGAAAAATCGATTGTAAGATATATTGTTAAGACTTGTGTTATTGTAGTTGCACAACTTTTTTTTTCATTAAAACCAATTCTACTTGCACTTACAAACCGCTGATTTTATCAAAAATTAAAATTACAAAAGTTATGTTTTATTTGGAATTGGCCAAATACATCGATTTATATTTTGCATATATTTAGTTAGATGTACAGTATCTAATTGCACACTGCATTTGATTTTTAAGTAAGTTTTGATGATGACAGAAAATGACTGAAAACTTCATGGTGAAAGAGCCGAGGCAGGGAAATCAGAAATGGAAAAAAGAATGTCCGCCTATCCTGGCTTTAAACGTACATATAGTGCATACGTAAAATTTAAAGAGATTACTGTTTAACATTTTTAAAAGAAAATATGCCATTGATCTCTCCACATTTTTGTAGTCTGTACCATAATATAATATGACTATTCAACCCTCTCCCAAACTACAGGCTATTTGCAAGTCGTACATGTATTTTAGCTCAAACATATTTAAGTTTTGCACTTCGAGAAATATGCTGCAAGATTTATAGTTTTATAAATTAACCAGAACATACACGGGGGGAAAAATGAATTTATTTTGTTAAGATTGGAAACCACCAAATGACCAACCAACCCTAGACTGGCACTGAAAATTATGAGCACACCGAAAGAAGGAGCACAGACCAGAGAGAATGTCAATCCATAACCAGACAATTTAGATGAATTTTGTTTAATTTATAAATAAGGTCCTTTTTTTCAAATTATTTTTATTTGTCTCAAGAGATTTAGAGATGAAAGTGACAGAAAGCCTATATATCAGCTGGAATAAAAAGGGAATGAAATGTTCGTTGCTGCAGTTGAGACAAGGTGCAGTGTGTTTTGGAACAGCCAACTGCATTGGGATAACAGATCAGATTAACTGAAACTAGCAAGCAAATACTTTGTATTTAGGGATGGGGTGGATCCAAAAAAGGAAAATAAATGAATAAAAATAATAAAATAATAATAATAATAATAAAAGTCTAATTTGTATTAAAATGTGTATTAAAACGAGTTATCAGCAAAAGTAGTCCCTGTTCTTTGTGTCCTGATGGAGAGAGTGCCAGGTTTACTGGAAATTATTGATTGCATGTTTAGCCTTATATGTGTAAAAAAAAAAAAATGGAGATTTAGACTTTATGTAACATCGACTCAGATACTTTGGGGGTTGAAAAATTGGCTCAAGCTATGCATAGGTCTGTCAGTATTCATAAAATTTCAACTTTACCAATTGAAAGAAAAAAAAAAAAAAAAAAAGAAAAACCCCATTTCTGTGAAATAACATTTTATAAGTTTACTTTAGGATAAAATCCCGTTATACATTTTTTTGGTGAGGGGTAATGTTGAGTCTACAGGTACTGCAGAGCAGTATGAAAGATATAATATATTTAATCTGTCTTATTTCTTTAACTATTCATCAGTCCTTAAAGTGTGTTGGAGATAAGAAAGGAGCCACTGCGACCTCACAATCTTTATCTCAAAACAATTCACCAGGCTTAAGCAGCATAGATTTAAAACCAGATCCTAGTGCGTCAGTGATGCCACAAGAGGACAGCACATCTGGGGCACCACCAGTGGGCAGCGCACCCAATATACCACCAGAGGGCAGCACAGCCAGTTTATCACCAGAGGGCAGCACATCAAGTAAACCACCAGAAGGCAGCACACCAAATATGCCACCAGAGGGCAGCACACCTAGGGTATCACCAGTGGGCAGCACACCCAACATACCACCAGAGGGAAGCACACCCAATAAACCACCAGAGGGCAGCACACCCAGTAAACCACCAGAGGGCAGCACACCCAGTAAACCACCAGAGGGCAGCACACCCAATGTACCACTAGAGGGCAGCACACTGAGTATACCACAGGAGGGGGGAAGTAAAGGAGAACAATTACCAGAACAGCAACAAGCCCATCCAAAATCCAATGCTGATGGAACTTTGCCAGCTGATATGGACAATACTGTGAAAAATGCTGAAGGTTCATGTTTTTTTATAAGTAATAACACACCCTCATTCTAATTGTTCCTACTTCTCTTTCACACAAACCACAATTTGTTAAGTTATTTAAATATTTTATTTGATTGGTATATAAAACATGCATACACAATTGGAAGTTGTTATCCACAAATAAGGAGTTGTCCTTTTTTATCATTTAAGATGGGAAGTTGTATTTTTCAAAAGATGTATTATGTTTATTTGTATTTCATATAGTAAACATTTTTTTTATAGTTGATGCTAACCTAGTTCCTCCAAAGCGCCCAAAAAATGGATTCATTCGTTTCTCTATCCAATATCGCAGAGAGATTGCCAGGCGGCATCCCAAACTTGACAATCGCGAGATATCCAGGATGTTGGGATCAAAATGGAGGAAAATGACCAAAGAAGATAAAAAGCCATATGAGTAAGTATTATGTTTACTACACACATTTTTATATTATCATCTGCAGTACAGACTTCCTTAAAGTATAATTTTTTCAATCTAATTTGGGAAAAGTTTTTTTCAGATGAAGTATAAGACAACTCCTTATCTGGATTCAGCTTGAAAAGACTGATCAATAAATACATAAATAAGTAAATTTTAATCATAAGTTGCTGAAGATCAAACACAACCAACAGACATGTATGGAAGTAAAGAAGTTGTCTATGACTGGGTTCCCATGCCTAGATCGATCTAACAGGATCGATCCATCTCCCAGGGTTTCTCATTAAATTGCTTTCAGCTTAAGCGGCTTAGATGGCTGGGCATGCCTACTGAAGCTGCTAAACGATAATTAATTACCCCTTAGCAGCTTCGGTAGGCGTGACAGATAGTTAAGCCACTTAAGTTGATTGATTTATCATTCAGAGTCGCATTCTTGGAGGAATTAAAGGAAACCAAGCAGAAGTACCCCAGTTGGTCATATGGACCCCCAAGACAGCGAGCAGATTCTGTCGCTGACCCGATGCCTTGTAGACTACGGCCTAAGAGGACACTGAAGGTATTTTGGGTTTCAGTGGAAATGATTAATAATTTTGCTTTTCTTCCTTTTTATTTTATGTGTCAAGCCTGGGTTCAGATCTATATGTGCATGTGTCAGGATCACAACATGATTAATGATACCAGAAGAAGTACTCTAAAAATTTGTTGGTTCTGGTTTCTCATAACTGATTCATTTCAATTTGCAACTGCCCCAATGTGTAAAATTTTAATTGGTTTGAAAATTGCGAATGAGGCATTTTGCATTAGTCCCATGACTGGTCCATAAAAGATAATAATTCTTTTCTTCTTATTTGAACCACAGCTTTCAGAACTGACTAGAAATTTCAAAAGTAAATGACAAATGCGTCTGACCCATAAAAGAAAAAAAGCTTGTATTGAAATTAAGGATCTTAGCCCTAGACACTTTTTTTTTTTGCTTTTTCTTTTCGTTTTTAAATTTTAATTCAAATTACAGCTTCCACCACTGACAAGAAGTTACACAAGAAAAAAGAAAATAACAAAACCCTCAGACTCTCCCCCAAGCAAGAGTACCTGGGTTCAGTGTGACAGGTGCTCGAAATGGCGATGCCTACCAGTCACAGTTGATTTACAGAAACTTCCACATATATGGTATGTGTAACACTATAGAGTAATTCTTATTAGCATGTTTAAGGGTGGATTCACTTCATTTTCATTTGTAAGGTCATTAAAATACATAAATTTTGGCAGATCTGGTGAGGGTGAGGGGGGTGAGGGGCAATGCACAATGATGAAAAATTAACAGAATTAATATAAAAATATTAAACAATAGGTGAAGACAGTTTTACTATAAAATGTAGACCTTAAGTTGAAAATGTTGAGTTTTGTCTCTTCTGCTTGTGACATTCTTGTAGTTAAATTATTTTGGGAAGAAGAAGGGAAGAGGGAGGTACCAGTACTGTCAGAATTGGGTGCGGGGGCATGTGCAAGCTGCATTACAATAATAAACATTAAATAGTAATATTAAATAGCATTGGACATTAAAACCAGTATATTTATGATGTATTAAACCAGTATATTTATGATGTATTTTAGGTTCTGTGAGTACAATCCTGACATTAAGTTCAACGGTTGTTATGTCCCAGAGGAGTCATTAAGAGAAGGAAGTTCCAGACCTAGTACGGAAATTTTACACAGTCAGGAATCTCCAGAAAATCTGCTCCTACATTCTCCAGAGAATGGGAGCAAAGGTGTAGTGGTATCTGAAAATGGACTGCACAGTAGTTTACCAGTATCAGTACAAAATCTCCAAAAGGTCACATCTCAAGAAAATCTGCACACTGAAAAATTTGAACGAAATCTACAGAATGGTGTGGCAGTTGAAAATGTGTGGAAAGGGACCACTGCAATAAATCTGCAAAGTGACATTGCATCAAATGTCACAAAAAATGGTATGCACACCAAATCTCCACAAAATGTAAATTGCACGGCTGATGCCTTTACTGGAATTTTAACAGGCGATGACCAGGTGCTCAGTAACCACCCCTTTTTAAGTCATTCATCAGTAAAAGAGGAAAGAGTAGCTTCCCGCGGAGTTCACTTTAGAAGAAATAATTTGCCAGTAAACAAAAATCATGGTACATGTATTTCAGTTCAACCCTCCCCCTGCAACCCTACTGAAGCTCACACAGTAAATCTGCTGCATGTAAGTAGGCCTACACAAGAACTCGTGCACAGTGGCACCTCACAGAGTAATCTGCACAATAACAGGAACTTGCACAATGGCAGTTTTATTGGAAACTTGCACAATGGTACCTCTAATGGGACCTTGCACAATGGCGCTTCTTCAGAAGCTGATCTACACAAGGGATCTTTAGTAGAGGCCATTCCAGATGGAAGCCCAATGCCAAATGGCCTGGAACAGTCCCAGGTTCATTCAGCATGCGATGCGTCGGACAGTGGAGCTACTATTGGTGTGGAGGATGGCCTGTCTTATTGTGGGGAAGAACTATACGATTGGCTCTGGGTTGCAAACAGCAATCACTCGGATGTTGAGGACTTTGTAGATGTAGATGGAATACAGCCTAGTGTTTTGGAGATTGAGTTACCTTTTGATGCTGAAATGATGTAGACATTTGAAGTTTTTAGGGTCAGGTTAATAAGGGCGATATTTTACATGTTTAATATCTGCTTTGAACATGATTTTTACTTGGAATTGTATAAGGGTTGAATCTATTTTTTGATGAGAAGTTTTTGTTTTTTTTTCTCATAAAATAGAATAAGATTGTGGATTATGGCACTTGTAATGCATGATCTTGTAATAGGTTTGATTGTAATCATTTATAAATGTATGCATGGTTATTGAGCAGTCATACTTATTAATTGCATATAATTATTCAAAAGATAAAAAGTATTTTTTAATTTATGATTTGTCAGACCATGATGTTGTGCAGTTGACATTTAATTAATGATTTTAATTAACATAATGATCATACTTCTTTTCATTGATTCATTGCATTTAAAATGTAACAAGAAAATAACTGTTTGGCGGGTTGATGAAGATATACGATTCCCGATCTAGAAAATATCCAATTAGTGCTTTCCATTACCATTGATTTGACAAGTAGCCATTTCATTGTAATACCTGCTGAAGAACTAGGACATTTTACAAGAGTACTTTTAAAATTTAAAACTAATGCAATTGGAAAGAAGAACAAATTGATTCCATTAAGTAACAGCATGTAATTTGTGATTTATATTTTTTTTTCTGATTTCATATGGCTGTCCTTTAAATAAGGTTGGTACATGTACATGTTCATGTAGCAAATGCACTGAGAACATAATTTTATTCTACATAGGTTCTGACTTCCACTGATTTTTTAGTTAGAAGTACCAACTACATGTTTAATATCTGACCAAGTGTCAAATTGTGTTGAATGAAAGATACTTTTTACATCTATTATAATAATTTGTTATTTGATTTTAAACAAAACAATTTTTGCCAATTTTGCATATTATGTCTGATTAAACAATGATGATTTTAGTTTGTCTGAAAACTTGTCATCATGGTTTTGCTTTATATTTAAAATTTACTTGTTTAATTTTAAATAAAAAAATTAAACAACATTGAAAGGTGTGCCGGAATTTTATTTTTCACTCTGATAAAAGACAGATTTGAAATATTGTTTCGTCTTTTCATCAATTATGAGTGCCAATTATTGCAATGTAAACGATATTTTAAGGTGGAGCTGTAATGTGGCTGCAGTTGAGTACGTCACAACACTCTCCAGGTTTGGGAGGATCTAGTTTACATCCGGGCGGTATTCCGACCCCTGTCCAATCTGTGCACCTGTTAATTAGAAAGAAATAGTGCCACAGTTATATTTATTAATTAAGTGCTTTACAACTCTCCTCAAGTTAAGGAAGGTCTACCACAATAGCAGGGTTTTTTTAAATTCTTGCTTCTCATTTCCCAGATGCACCAAGGCAGAAACTTTTTTATTTATTCCTGCAATAATAAACTACATGAGTCATCATACTTTCCACCTTCATTTAATCAGCGGTACCAATTGTCTTTGGTTGACAAAGTTTTCCCAAAATTTAGCCGTACTGATGAACAGAGCTCTTCAGTTATTTATAATATTGTTATTTATTTATTTTTTCTTTTCATCGTGCTTGTATTTTGATTTACGTGCAATATACATGTAGCTACCGGTTTTATTTTTTATACATGCATGTATGTTCTTTATTCATTTATTATTAGTCATGTAACAAACCACTTTTTGTTATTAAAATAATAAAACCCTTCCCGTAATAAAAACAAACCCACTGCACATCTCAAAAGATAGATTGGACAAGACCGCAAATAATGTGGAAATTATGGTTATTTTAGGAAACGCACTGCGCCGCCGCAGGCAAAATCACAGACGGTGCACCATTGCATCAGGTGAGACAAACAAGTCTGCTGTGCTGAGATGTTCGAGCACCTCTATCACACTCCTAACGTCATCCCCTCCCCCATCATGCAAATGAAACTGTAGGTTTTGTTTATTTTATTTATTTTTCTTTATCAATAAAATTATATTTTCGACCGAACTTACTTTGCTTCGCAATAGTAGAAATTAATGGATGGTCTGAGGCACCAGCAGGTACGTTTGCAGTCTACGTCCCAGGTCTCTCTTGCTTTGTAGAATTTTCCTCCGACCTCACAGGAATCTATTTCAGTAAGAATACATAGTGCATTGTTATTATACACGTGTCGTGGGAATGGTGGATCTATCCTATGTAATCTTTAAGCGATGTACGTGGAAAAATAATGAATCAGTACGATAATATTTAGAAATAATAAGAATGATAGGCCTTATAATACCATAATAATAATAATAATAATAATAATAATAATAATAATAATAATGATTAACTATATTTGTACATATCCAAAGACTTTAGTAGTCTTACAATGTACAGGTATATGATAACAAAATTTCACTGACCTTTCGGTTTCACTGTAGTAGCGACGGCAGGTTTTATGGTTGTAGGGGGAACGGTAGTGGCAGGTGGAGCTATGAACACGTTAAAAACAATTCAAAGATATATATTCGTATTATTATGACAAAGTAGTTATTGTATAAGATGATTTGTTTTATTAGTTATATCTAAAGGAACGTTATTTCCCGCGCGCGCGCGCACGCACGCATGCACACACACACACACGCACGCATACACACACACACACACACTAGGCCTACATGTAGGCCTATATCATGAAAATCGATTACCCTGTGTCTCAATTACTGAATTCAGTTTTAAAAGACCTGACTTAATTTGGGATCACGGCATTTGGGATTCACATTTTTACATGAATAGTTGACGAGTCTTGCAGCATGCACTTTGGCGTTTTGCGTCTATTTGATTTGATTTCACGTATTTTGATACAACGCCCACCTTTTTGCGTCTCACATATGTACGGATGCGCGTCATTACACGCCTGGTCCCAAACAGTTCCGACACTATCTTGACGAATTAGTCCACAGGTGCTTCTTCTCGCTGTTAAAACAGACATGGTTATGTTTTTTAAGAAAAAAAAACAAACTTTTTTAAAGCAAGCTTAATGCCAACTTGAATGAAGAGAATGAAAGAAAGATGTATAAAAATATGAGAAGGTTTTGACACTATAAATCATTTTTAATTTTCTCAGTGGTTCGTCTTAGATGATTAAGCGTACAGTATAACTGACATTAAAACTCGCATGAGAGAGAGAGAGAGAGAGAGAGAGGAAGAAATTTACCAGCTAAACATTCATTTTTCTTAAAAAGTATTCCTGTCCACAACTTGCTGGCAGTTTGTGACCTAAAAAAATAATAAAACGTATTTTCCTCACAAATGAGCTTGCTTGAAGATGTGCTAGCAGTTTAAGTAAAGATGCAACTAAATTAAATAAAATAAATGTGTATTTTAAAACACCCTAGAAATATTTCTTGAAATAATGTAGAAAATGATCTTAATCACCTGAACTCTGCTTTAATGCATACTTGCGATCCACGGTATGACAAATTAGGTGGAAAATGACCGTGACATAATTCTTAAAATTTGATAAACTAAGGTCGACAAGAGCACAAAATTTATCATTATCGAATTTAACATATGCTATATAGGGAGCTATAAGATACCGGTGTGTTTGTCGAGAGCTTAGGGCATTATTATCAGCGATCTCCCAAGGAAGCTAGATAAAACTTGCGTCCGTTTACTTACGCAAAACTAATTACTTACTAGAAATGTCCAATATCTTTCAAACACCGGATTGACAGTTACATGTACCTTACGACGCAATTCACATAATTAATCCAGTCGTTGGTTATGTACGCCTTTATCCGGTAGCCGACCCAGAATTCTGTCGCATTCACACCCCTGGTAGCAGCGTACAGAAACGTCTGTTCTTCACGACTCCCAATCTCGGCAAGATGGCCACCGAGTTTCTTACAGTCGGTTTCAGCCATGAGCCAGTTGGCTTCCTTGCACGATATTTTATACCATGTTTTGGGTTGATCCTCGGAACACCGACCCATTTATCAGAACAGGTATCGGCAGCTGAAGCAGAATCCAATGGGCAGCCTCATCGTTTTTTTTTTTTTTTTTTTGCATTTAATGTTATGACCCCTTTCCCGTACCTAGATCGATCTGGCGGGATCGACCCATCTCCGTCTGGTTTCTCGCTAAATTGCATTCAGATTAAGAGGCTCTGATGTCTGGCACGCCTACTGAAGCTGTTAGGGGGTAATTAACAAATGTTTAGCAGCTTCAGTAGGCGTGTCTGACATCTAAACTGCTTAATAATCTAAATGCAGTTTAGCGAGAATCCCCTTAGATGGGTCGTTCCTGTTAGATCGGTCTAGGTATGGAAATGGGGTCTTATTCAAATATGTTTGCGCATTTGAAACTGAAGGCTTATTACTGTATATGAATAGCCTACCTGTTTTTCGTGAATACCTGGACATGATTGAAGCAAGTCAAAACGCATTAGTACATACAGATCCAACACTTATGCAGATGCTGACATGCTTTGAATGTACTGCATCACATCAAAAATAAATTTTAGTAGTAATAATTGAACTATTTCTGTGCATTTCAATATGTACCGGGGTAGGATCTAAAGTGAACGTTGCCAGATAACGCGTCCCTTCTCACCTATCTGTTGGCTACCCGTTGAGTACCACAACGAAAACCAAAGAACAACCCATCCAAAAAGAGAATCCTGCCAAAGATGCACTCTCATGTTGTGTCCACCCGATAACAGAGACAGGCTTCGATTTCAGGCAGAATTAAGTGATCGTGAATTGCTACGACGCGCTAAGTTAAACTTGTTAGCAAAGAAATGATGTTCAGACAAAGTTATATTTTCACGGAGTCCAACCCAATATTTGGTCTGCTTGAGAAAACCACGGAGAGCAGAAGAAATTGTTATATTAACGTAATACACCAGGAAGAGCTTTAGCGAGGTAAAGCAATCATCTTAAATTCTTTCACGTGCCACTATTTGATTGGATATATTAAACTACACATTCTGACCACAGATTGTGATATCACTCCAACACATCTAGCATATCACTTCCTGCATGCTGCTTGAATGATGTCGATGGAATAGAGACCGGTTTTAGTCCGGTTAGAACAAACCTAGAGTGAACTGGCCCTAAGACTTATATTTCAGTCGACACATATTTCAGGACGCGTGACATTGACAGTGTACTTCGTGACGGCTTTTAGATGTGATACTGATGGTTGGGGTCGCCTAAGATAACCCTAATTGTTAATAATGTTTGTAAGGTACTATAGTACAGAGATGCATTATCATATCGATGTTTGACATTTTATTATATGAAAAAGGAACCGTACTGTTTGGTGCACCTGCGAACAAGACAGAATTCCACTGTCTGTATAGTACATAACCTAAGATGCTTTGTCGGGGTCCGTTTCTTTAATTGTGCAGGACCTTTTTTATTATAACCCCGGCCCCCACATCACATTAAATAACCCTTTATAATATAACCTCTGGTGTTGGGCACTATGGACTCCCACCAGTAGATAACGCGAATTGTAATAGGCCCTACTGCTACAGAGATTCCCAGGTTCTGAATGAAACGACTCCATGTTGTAACTTCAACAGAATACATTTGGCTAAACTAAAAGTTACATGGTATATATATATATATATATATATATATATATATATATATATATATATATAATAAAGATCCCTTCTCAGCCTCAAACCAATCTCCTCTCTCCTTCTAGTCTCCCGTTTATAGCCTTTCAAGTCTCCCATAACACTTGAGATTTAAGTTCACAGACGTTTATGCTGAATTTTATCAGTATGAAAGTTTAATAAAATAGGCCCACTAATTACAATCTTTCAATACTGCGGTCCTTGACAGCTTGTTACTAGAAAAAAAGTGAAATATTTTGACACGATATCACAGTTACAGTATGAACAATGCTGCAGAAATGTGTTTTATTAATTTTTTTAAGAAGAGTTCAACGTGACGTCTCTTCTCCGCTAATGTACTAATAACAAACAAAAGTAATCGATACTACATTATAAGACACATGTAGCTACTGGTATTTGTCAGTTACAAACAAATTTAATCTACCCACAAAGTCTGCTATGCAAAAGTCACCCGGAGAGGAACAGTTAATCTAAATCAATCTTTCATATTTAAATTGCAAAAGTGGTAGATATTTTAGATGGGTAGAATCCTAATAGTGCAAGTCTTCATGTGTGTACCAATACCATTTTAAGCAAGATCCAAAATTATTTGAAAGGGGGGGGGGGGTGCGGATGCTGCATAATATTAGATAAGCTTTAAGTTTTCTTCAACTGTTTCAAGGGTAAAAAATACATAATAAAAAAGCAGAAGGGCAGGAAGTGATGCAGCATATTTAAGACTCTCCACTAGCAGCATGGGCATCCTTGTTTTTGAAGGTCGTTTATGATTCACGTTTTACAATGTATATATCCCCAATGTTTGAAACACTTGGGTAAACACCAACATTTAAGCTGAAACATATATTTTGAAAAAAGCAAGAAATATAAGAAATAAAATTCCTTGTCACATTTTGAATATGAATCTGAACCACATAATATTTGAACAAAAATTATCTTCAGGGACAGGTTGGAGAATTATCAATGGTATTTCAGTCTTTATAAATCTTTAAATATAAATATGTGTCATTATCATGGTGGAGGAGTCAGAGAGTCGCAGTTCAGATTTTGACAACATTCACCGAGCTTAGGAGGATCCAGTATGCATCCCGCCGGAATAGGCATTCCGTCCCAGTCTTGGCATCTGAAAAAATGACTTATTCGTTCTTTGACAATATTCTTTATAGCATTTAATGTAAATTAAATTAAATTAAATTAATTTTTTTAATTAAAAAATATTAAAATACTAATCTTTTCCGTCATGAAATCACTTACTTGGGTTGACAGTAGACAAAGTTAGCTGATGACTTAATACATCTGCAAGTTTGTTTGCACCCTATGTCCCAGACTTCTCCCTGCCTGTGGAGCGCATTACTGTACAGGCAGTAACCTACAATATTGAAAAAATAGATAAATAAACAGGCACGTAGCCCAGGGAGAATGAGTTAAGGGGAAGGGGGAAAGGTCCCCTCTGGGTACAAATTGATATAGGTTCACGCAGGTTTCATAGTAAAAGGTCCACTTGGTAAAAACAAGCGCTTTTGAAAGCGCTGCAGCCACGGGCGTGATAACGGTTGAGGGCGTGTTACACAGGGTAGATACTTGATAAAAATGTGTACAGTTATTTTCTATTTGATGCTACGGTAGGAAATATAATATGCATTATTAAAGTTAATTGTAGATTGAAGGAATCTGAGGATCTCTTGATACTGGATTCTGATTTGAGGTGCTCTGGCGTGAATGCATATTTATGTTACTCACCATTGGGTCGCACACATTCAAAGTTGGTGCTGCCATTTATGCTTTTGCATGGTATCGGATGCCCAGGTGCTGTTTCAGGACAAGGATTGGGATCACAAGGGTCTGAAATGAAAATGTGGAGAAACTATTAGTCTGCTTAAGCAAACAGGTTTTTGACTTACTCTTGGAGACTTGCGATTTAATTGTAATTAGAAAATTAATTGAAACTGAGACAGGTTCTTTGTCTATTGGCCCACGTTTCACTTTTATCAAAATCACATTTCCTGGCGGTTAGTGTCTTTGCATCAATACTTTTGCATTTGAATACTTACAAACCAAGCTAAACAATTTTACACTTAAATTACCTTTTGCTGCCATGGTGGTGGTGGTGGTAGAGGGTTGCGTGACAGTACTAGAAATAGTGGTGGGAGGAACTTCACAATTGACCCCACTAAAACCATCCGGACATTGGCAGATGTATCCATTGACTTCATCCTGACATGAGCCGTTGTTCAAACAAGGATTAGATGCACATTCGTTGATGTTGGTTTCGCAGTTAGAACCGGTAAAGCCAAGTACACATGAGCAAGAATATCCATTAATATCGTCGATGCATGTGGCGTTATTCTTGCACGGTTGAGATGCGCATTCGTTGATGTTGGTTTCGCAGTTAGAACCGGTAAAGCCAAGCGCACATGAGCAAGAATAGCTGTTTATATCGTCGATGCATGTGGCGTCATTCTTACACGGGTGAGATGTGCATTCGTTGATGTTGGTTTCACAATGTTTTCCAGTAAACCCATTTTTGCATTGACAAACATAACCATTTACGGCATCTTTACACACTGCACCATTTACACAAGGGTTAGAGTTACACTCATCCACGTTCACGGTGCACGTTTTGCCGGTCAGCCCAGCGGGACAAACGCAGACGTAAAAGTTCATCCCATCTTTGCACGCCCCATTGTTCATGCATGGTTGAGAGTCACATTCATTGATGTTAGTCTCGCATATTTTCCCCGTTAATCCAGGAAGACATTGACAGGAAAACCCATCAACTTCATCAGCGCAGGCGCCGCCATTCCTACATGGTTGAGATGCACATTCGTCTATATTGACGTCGCAAGTTTTACCCGTAAACCCTGGGCGACAATGACATTTATATCTGCCCAACAAGCTTTCGCACGTCCCTTGCTGTTGGTGGCATGGGTTGCTAGCGCATTCGTTTATTTTAACCTCACAATCCACGCCAGTAAAACCAGCGTCACAATGGCACGTATAACTATTGATGCCATCTTGGCACCATCCATGTCCGCTGCAGGAGCGTAGATCGCAATCGTTGATGTTGCGTTCACAGTTCTTTCCAGTAAAACCTTTGGCACATGAGCAAGTGTAGTTATTCACCCCATCAATGCACCTTCCCCGCCCATTGCACTTTAACCTATCTGGCCGGCAATCGTCTATGTCCGTTTCACAATTTCTTCCGGTAAAACCACTGTCACATTTACATATGAAACGATGAAAGCTGTACATGTCATAACACTTTCCTCGTCCACTGCATATACCAGATCTGGCGCAATAACTGGTGCTGGTTTCACAGAAGGAGCCGAAAAATCCTGTTGGACAATGGCAGCGGTAACCGTCGTATGTTCCACTGTTCCGACAAGGGTTCTTGAGCTCCGACCCTGTTGGATAATATAAACATTTTATCTCTCATTGGCACATTTTTTTCATTCAGCGATTAACCCCTCTATGTGTGCACCGTTATTATCTCATTACTCATGCGTGATTAAATAACGTTCATGTCAGGTGCTGGAAGCGAAGGAATGCATGGCATATTGCATGGCGTATGTTCATCACCCCTGTCATGTACACACACACGTGCACACAGACACGCACGCGCGCACGCACATGCACACTCCCACACAAATGGACACATTTATAACAGGCACTGGCACAATTAAATAGAGATAAGAATTTATTCAGCCAGTTATAAAATTCGGAGGTCATTTTCACACTTTTAAACGCTTTTAAATACACACACTTCTACACAGATGGACACAGATGCAAAAGCACAAAAGCACGTGCGCTCTTTCTCTCTCTCTTCCTCTCTCTCACACATATAGTAAAATTGAATACTTTAGAATTTTCACCTACCTGTTTTTATCTCGCATATGTAGGGCAGTGCACAATTACACGGCAGTGACCGTACATGTATGCCACCTGCGCCGGACCCACTGAGGCCAAGACTACTGCACCAACCACCTACAATACAGTTGTAAGTAAATAAACACATGTTCATTCACTGTGTATCATAAAACGTATACAAAACTGCAGTACTTATGGATATCGTTTTCATGTACTCAACAGATTCCGTAAGAAAATTACGCGAAAACACAGAGTAGACCTAATAACATGTATGATAACGTTTTGGGCGTTATATGTACAAACGATTAAACATATTAAAGGCTCACTTCGATCGAGAGAGAGAGAGAGAGAGAGAGAGAGAACCTGTTCTTTTGTAGCGTCCATATGGTATCCTGGAATATAAAATAATGTATATTAATTTAAGACTTCGACCATGCATGTTGTTATGTTTCATTTACCAATATGTAAATGACTTGGCTGCTGAGATTAAATTCTCAAATTTACCGTTAAAGCTTCCATTATAACCTGTATTATGTACGTGAAAGTGTACCTAAACTGAGGGTTCGTGTAACAGAAAGTCCGCCCTCGATCCATTTAGTTATCATGGTCAGGGTTAGCCTGACCCAAGTGGGTCAAAATCTAGGGCAAGGCTTACCTTTACAAATGAAAGGGAAGTGGACTTTCTGTCATGGGGGACCCTCTGTCCAGTACACCGGATATCAGAGGCCTTCAGTCTGTTTTAGTGAAAATCTGTCAAATGATTACACGTTCAGCTTTGTGCAACGGTTAAGTGAAGAATTTTTAGCAACAAATAATGTATAAACCATTTTTAGGAGCGCCAATGACATCTGGTGTGCAGTAAACATACATGTATAAAGCTCATTTGTTCCCAGGAGTATTTATTCTAATTGTCTTCAACCTTTAAAATATCATACCTTGAGGGGCATTGGTAGGTTGAAGGAAACACCCCATATGTTTTAGAGGGATATCCGCTGTATCTCTTTGAAATCCGTGAATTACTGGTTATCCAGGCATCCCTGACATTATATCTTTTGAGAACACTTTTCAAGGCGCTTTGCTCTTGGTACATGTTAGGTCCAATATAGGCAAGATTTCCACCTGGTTTGTTCCTGCAGTACCATTGTGCCCAACTCCAAGAACTTGCATCATGGCATATTTGGTATTTTTTATATGGGCTCAACCTCAACTCGGAGCAACCTTAACAGTTAAGGAGTGTAAGGATAAGATGTGTTGTATGAAATAATAACGTCCCAAAAATGCCGATAAATTATAAGATAGCATTTTTGAGAACGATATCGGAATTATTTACGCTTTAAGTTTAATAATCCCGTCGTCATGTTTGTTTTTATTTACGCAAAACAATATTTCATCAGTTTCATAACAACATTTATGGCACATGAGGTAATTTAACATAAGAAAATGTTGTTTAAAAACGCACCATCCTGCAGTTCAAAATAAAGAGTCCACCGTAAAGAGTTCATCGTAATAGAAACAACATTACGCGCTAATGCTTCAATGCAGTAAGCAATCACAGGTTATACTGCCTTTACAAGTGTAAACATTCAGTACGTGTGGTTACCTTTCGGCCCACCATACCTACCCCAGGGGTATCCGCTGCCAGGTATGGGGTATGTGCCTTTGCCTTGTGCGATGTAGTGCCCTAGGACACACCATACCAGTAGGCAAACGTGCAGTAGCCCAAGACCCATTTCGACGTGCAGGTTGTCAAGCGAGCCCGTCTAATATACGTACACGTATCTAAATGTGCAGACGTCGTGACTCAGCGTTTTTATACTGCAGCCATGATACTTTGAAACAAGATTGTGAGAAAGATCTTTCAACCTGCACGTCCTCCCTCCACCCCTCTCTCTCTCTCTCTCTCTCTCTCTCTCTTCACCGCCACCATACGCCCCTCTCACTCTTTGAACGTGTTCTAAACTTAGTGCATGTAACTGCATGCGTCATTGCGTATTTATAAACGTACGTCTGTGCTATTGTGACTATGAGCAGTCCATCGCGATAAAAAAAATCTGGAGAAAACAATATATTAGTCTTTCATGTAAACCAACGTAGGATATAGAAGGTATCACCTATATTCTTATCAGGACTTGAATTATAACAAGATAAGCACATGTACTTTGGTATAAGGTTCTAGTTCCCTGTACGACACAGAACAAAGGTGATATGTTTAAATACAGTCAATCAATATGTTGTATATGTTAATAGCTTTTTTATGTGCTACTTGTACCATTTTATACGACTGCAAAAATTCAAATTCAGACCAATTGTTTCACGCTTTTGTCATGCTTTTCTGTAACGTGAAAACAGAAACGCACGTGCATTCCACAACCACACTTACACCGCACGCACGCACGTGAGCACACACACACAAAGACGCACATTCATTGAGGCAAGTTTCTGTCGCATATTTTACTGACATTTGTATTTGGCACATAAGAATATAATCCACTGCCAAACAAGGGATACATGTATGTTCCCGTGCCTAGTGCGATGCACTGTTCTCAGACACAGTATGCTTGAAGGCAAGCGTTCACCCAAGACCCATTTCGACAAAGTGGCTAACAGGAGAACCTGTGTTAATTATTTACTCAAAAACTACACGTGGCGTGATTTAGTGTGTTTATACTGCAGAGATAGCATCTCAGAGCATGATTAAAAACAGAACTGTCAGCGTGCCTGTATATGTATACGTAGGTGTGTCCGTCCTTTGAACCTGTGAGCAGTCCATCACAATCAAAATTCACACAAGAAAACAATACGTAAGTCTTATTAACTTATAAACAAACATTGGATAGAGGAGATATCGCAATCATGTTTAATACACATACATGGGTACATGGTTCTAGAATTAAATTCACCATAATAACTTTTAAATGTAATGTAGACTTTATTTTTGTTATAATTATTTTTTAATTACTTTGAAAAATGAAAATCGTATCTTGCATACTTTTAGAACGTACTTTTATCGGCTTTCTTTACTTGGGTTTGATACAATTATTTATTTCAGTACAGCAATAATTTTAATGACCGTAATGATTTCTTTATCTGTATATATTTATTACTGATCCAAAGGTCCATTCTAGATACAGCCAAAAGATAAAAATAGATAAAAACACCCGAAACGTTGAGTCCTGTACCTCTCAGGATTTTTCAAACAGCGCTAACCCTGACGTAAAGACTTGTCTAATTTATTATGCAAAAACCATGAAATTACTGATACGTAAACGGGCGACACCCATACTATTACTTTTTAGAAACTTACTGTGATCAACTTGGGGACCGTTCACATGAAAAATCTATTTTCTCAAAATCTAAAAATCTATTTGCGGTATCTTGTGATCACGGTCTGTGCCCTGAATACCCCGTTGAGTGATAACTGGCAGCGCCGAGAATTAGTTACAGCTTTGGAAGTAACAGGCTCGCGCTGCCCGTAATTACGCCCTGGGGTATTCAGGGCACAGACCGTGATCACAAGATACCGCAAAAAGATTTTTAGAAAATATATTTTTTATGTGAACGGTCCCTAAGTCCAGCAGATCACACTTCGCTATAGGCAGTAAATGGAAGAACGCTGGAAATATGTTTAACGTTGTACGTACATGTATCTCAACTTAGCGTTCAATGCTATTCAGTTCAAAACTTTCAAATATTCAGATTAAATTTCACTTTTCGAAAAGCTTATCCTCAGCCGTACAGAAGCCTATAAGATAATGGAATGAATACGGTAATCGGACTTGGCAAAGGAATCGCATGTCCATAACAGGCTTTTACAAATAAACATCCAGATCTTGGTTTATATGTAAATATGACTAATAAATTGTTTTCTCCAGGTTTTTCATTGCGATGGACTGATCAAAGGCACAATACAGGCGCAGACGTACGTTTGCAAATCCGCAAGGACGCATGCAGTTACATACACCAAGTTTAGAACGCGTTCAGAGAGTGAGAGGGGAGTATGGTGGTGGTGGAGAGAGAGAGAAAGAGAGAGAGAGAGAGAGAGAGTGAGAGAGATAAGTGGAGGGAGGACGTGCAGGTTGAAAGATCTGTTCTTGCTATCAAGATGAGGTGTCATGGTTGCAGTATAAACACGCTGAGTCACGACTTCTCCATATTTAGATACGAGTATACTTACGGGCTTACTCGATCGACAACTTGCACGTCGAAATGGGTCTTGGTCAACTGCACGTTTGTCTACTAGTATGCTGTGTCCTAGGGCACTACATCGCACCAGGCACGGCCACATTACACCTATTTGGCAGCGGATACCGCTGGGTAAACTATGGACGGCCGAAAGGTAACCACGCTTACTTAATGTTTCCGCCTGTAAAGGCAGTGTAAGCTGTGATTGCTTACTGTATTTAAGCATAGTTGCGTAATGTTGTTTCTGGTACGATGCATGGACTCTTTACTTTAAATTGCAGAAGGGTCGTTTTTTTTAAACATGTTCTTAAGTTAAATTACCACAGAAAGGTTGTCATGAAAAAGGAGTTTATTGTGTACGTAAAACAAATATGACGACGGGATTATGAATCCAAAAGGGTTAAGACTCCGATAACATTTTATCTTTTAAGAGGCCGCGAATACCGCTTTCAGTCAAATGTGATTCAACAACATTTGACTGTCATAACTAGAACATACATATAATCATCAACTCTTTTATGACGTTATTTTATTTTTTAATTAATTTATTTATTTATCTATTTATTTATTTACTTACGTATTTATTTATTTATTTGCATACGTCATTTCAAAAACCTACACTCCTTTACTTTTAAGGTTGCTCCGAGTTGAGGTTCAGCTCATCTAAAAAATACCAAATATGTAGAGATGCAAGTTCCTGGACCTGGGCACAAGGGTACTGCAGATACAAATTGGGTGGAAATCTTGCCTATATTGGATCTAACATGTACCAAGAGCAGAGAGAATTTAACAGGGCATTGAAAAAATATAATGTCACGGATGCCTGGATAAACAGTAATTCACGAATTTCAAAGAGACACACTTCTATGTACAGCAGATTTTCCTCTTATACCAGCACACATTGGGTGTATTCTTCAACCTACAAATGCCCCTCAAGGTATGATATTGTAAAAATTGAAGACATTTAGAATATATACCTCTGGGGACAAATAAACTTGATATGTTTACTGCACACCAGATGTCACTGGAATGTTGTGCCGTCTGGTACACACATTATTTGTTAAAAAGATATCAATTCTTCACTTAATCGTTTTACAAAGCTAAAACAGATTAAAGGCCCTCATGCTTTGGTATCCAGTTGTGGTAAGTAACTCTATAGTGTGGCGAAAACTGAGAAGCTGTGTAACCCAAACTTCACCTTTCATTAGATTCAAACAGGTTAGATTTTCGCGTGACATACAGTAAACGGGCCAAATTCTGGGATGGGCGTACCTATACAAAAACCTGATCCTGTATCACAGTGGACTGTCTCGTACATGGTACGGGTTATAATGGGAGCTCTAGACGTTCTTTCGGGAACTTACAGTAAGCAGCCAAAATAATTACATATTTTTAAATAAAAAGAAAACATTATCTAAGTCTTACGTTAATATACATTATTTTATATTCCAGGATACCATATGGACGCTACAAAAGAACAGGTTATCTCTCTCTCACTCTCTATCGAAATTGCTCTTTTAAAATGTTTAATCACATTTTGCACTTGTACATATGTAACGCCAAAAACGTACTGGTACATGTTACTGAGACTGAATGTATTACATTTTGCGTAACTTTCTTACAAAATATGTAGAGTCAGTTTACATGAAATTGAGATTATTACCCTATTACACTGCTGGTATGTATACATTTTATCATACACAGTGAGTATTACCAGTATAGGCGGTTGGTGCAGCAGTCTTCGCCTCAGTGTTTTCGGCACAGGTGCAACACGGTCACTGCCCTGTGATTGTGCACTACCCTTCATTTGCGAGGTAAAAGCAGGTAGGTGTAAATTACTTATAAATTAATTGGTTTTACCAAAGTGTGTGTGTGTGTGTGTGTGTGTGTGTGTGTGTGTGTGAGAGAGAGAGAGAGAAAGAGAGAGAGAGAGAGGGAGGAGAAATAGAAAGCGACAGATACAGAAAGAAAGAGGGGGGCGCACGTTTATACAGTATTTGAGCTTCTCCTTATGTATCCATTCGTGTGGGAGCGAATGCATGTGCGTGCACGCACGTGTGTGTGTGTGCATATGATGGATGTTCAACATTCAATATACCTTTGCTTCCAGCACCTGATATGAACGTTATTCAAACGCGCATGAATAATGAAATAATTACGGTGCACATGTGTAGAGGTAATTGAATCACTACATGAAATAACACATCTAACAAATAAAGAAAAGTGCCAATGAGAGATAAAATGTTTATATTATCCAACAGGTTCGGGGCTCAAGAACCCTTGTCGGAACAATGGAACATACGACGGTTACCGCTGCCATTGTCCAACAGGATTTTCCGGCTCTTTCTGTGAAACCAGCACCAGTTATTGCGCCAGATCTGGTATATGCAGTGGACGAGGAAAGTGTTATGACATGTACAACTTTCATCGTTACATATGTAAATGTGACAGTGGTTTTACAGGAAGAAATTGTGAAACAAACATCAACGATTGTGATTTACGCTCCTGCAGCGGACATGGATGGTGTCAAGATGGCATCAATAGTTACACGTGCCATTGTGACGCTGGTTTTACTGGCGTGGATTGTGAGGCTAAAATAAACGAATGCGCCAGCAACCCGTGCCACCAACAGCAAGGGGCGTGCGAAAGCGTGTTGGGCAGTTATAAATGTCATTGTCACCCAGGGTTCACGGGTGAAACTTGCGACGTCAATATAGACGAATGTGCATCTCAACCTTGTAAGAATGGAGGTACCTGCACTGATGAAATCGACGGGTTTTCCTGTCAGTGCTTACCTGGATTAACGGGGAAAACGTGCGAGAATAGCATCAATGAATGTGACTCTCAACCGTGCAAGAACAACGGGATGTGCAAAGATGGGATGAACTTTTACGTCTGCATTTGCCCCGCTGGGCTGACTGGCAAAACGTGCACCGTGAACGTAGATGAATGTAAATCTAACCCTTGTGTAAATGGTGCTGTGTGTGAAGATGCCTTAAATGGTTATGTTTGTCGATGCAGAAATGGGTTTACTGGAAAACACTGTGAAACTAACATTGACGAATGTGCATCTCAGCCGTGCAAGAATAACGCCACATGCATCGACGATATTAATGGATATTCTTGCATATGTGCAGTCGGTGTTACAGGTCCCAGCTGCGAGACCAAAATTAACAAATGTGCATCTCAGCCCTGCAGACATGGCGCTACTTGTACAGATGGTATCGACGGATACATGTGTCAGTGCCCCTCTGGTTTTACCGGTTCTCGATGTCAAACCAGCATAGATGAATGTGCATCCAATCCTTGTTTGAACAACGGCTCATGTCAAGATAAAGTCAATGGATACATTTGCCAATGTCCAGGTGGTTTTAGTGGAGTTAATTGTGAAGTGCCACCTACCACTATTTCTAGTACTGTCACGCAACCCTCTACAACTACCACCATGGCAGCAAAAGGTAATTTAAGTGTAAAATTGTTGAGTTTGGTTTGTAAGTATTTAAATTAATTAAAAGTAATTAAAAGTACTAAAAGCATACTTCCATGCAGCATAATCACCGCTTTGAGAGGGACATTACAGAGTAGTAGTATATTTACCATAGACAGCGGGGATGTGTTGTTAAAGTCAGTTCTTGTTTCCAGGGTTTAAAGATACAGCTGGGGAAATGTTGGCGAAAAATAGCAATCGATATGCATTCAGTGCATTGGCAGCAATCTATAACTACTAGTTCCTCGTACACCCAATGTTCCTCGTACCCTTATAGGGATAATAACCTTCCATTTTTACATTCAAAGTTAGTCCCTGTTTTTTTCTTAAAAATTTGTTTTTTTTAATCTCTTAAAAGATTTTAACAGAGTATATAGCCATCAGTGGAGAGCACGTGGTCTAAAGACAAGCTCAGATATCAGAATAATAGCTATAATTGCCGTTTTTGTGGTAAAGCAGAATATATTATATTTCTATCAGTTATTCACAATGTTTTTATTGTGAAATATAGATCTCATACGAAGAGTTATTATCCCTTTAATCAGTTTCATAAGTCAAAGTACACACATTTTTAATAAAAGGTCGGTTTGTAAGCGATCCCTGACTAGTATCGTTTTTTGTCTCTTTTACAGAAAGTACATCTACAGCAACGCCATGTTCTGCAAACCCCTGCAAAAACGGCGGACAATGCAAGGATACTGATTCTAGTGCTACCGGTACATATAAAAGTAACCTCGGTGACTACCAATGTTTATGTCCTCCATTTTATACCGGCAAGCATTGTGAAACCCAAATCGTTTTCTGTCAGTCCAACCCATGTCAGCATGGGTCTACATGCGTTCCGAAGCTTGGGGGCTACAACTGCACCTGTCCGGCCACCCACAAGGGAACCCACTGCCAAACCCGTGTCGACCCTTGCGCCAGTTCCCCCTGTCTTCACGGCGGACGCTGTAGCACACAACTCAATGGGACCTTTCAGTGCACATGCCCAAGTTTGTGGTCCGGGGCCCACTGTGAGCGATGCCTTTGTCAGAACGGAGGTAGTTGTGACTACAGTCCCACTGACGGTCACGTGTGTCGCTGCCAAGCTGGGTTCATCGGGCTGAAGTGTGATACTAAAGTGAACGAATGCGACAGCTGGCCATGCCGGAATGGCATATGCACTGACTTGGTAAACGGTTATAAATGTGACTGTGACCCTGGCTACACAGGTAAAGACTGTGAAGTCAAGACTGGCAGTTTGAATGGTTAATATATTGGCCGAGTACATTTCTGTACGGTATCAGTTTGAGAGAGTGTCAACTTTGTAGCTATGGCAGGCAGTAATGCCAGAGTCGCCTCGACGGACCCCCGCAAGTTTACTGAATTAATTCTGACATTCTGACTGGTACAATTGGGCTTGTAAAAGGGGTTAAACCCCTAGCAGCGTACTTACATTTTAAAAGCAGTAACTGGTGCGATACAGAAAAGTGTATCGCTCAACGTGAAAAAAAAAATCATAGAGATTTGTTTTTAGCTGAAAATAAGACCTTCAATTGTAATTCCTAGAGTGGACTGAATTTTTAATGTAACAATTAACGTACAGTGTCTACATGCTGTTGGCATTACCAAAAGGCATTCGCGGATCGACCTCATTGATTCAGAACAGACATTAAATTGCTTAACAGCTTTAATTATTTGCCACCATTGTTTGAAGTAATATTGGTCTCTGAACTTTCACTTTTGTGTGGATCACAATGCAGTAAGTTAAAAACGGTATTTGGTGAATTAATTTCAGATATTTAACATCGCTTGCGCTTATTATGGAGGAAACATTACACTAAAACTCATTTTATTTTATATGATTTTCCCGGTGCAGCAGGAAATACGTGGTTGTTAGACAGAAATTTATACCAATCAATCTGAAAAAAAAAAAAAGCAGCCAAGCTGTAAAATAAACAGACGGTAAAGCTTATAATGATGCATAAAATATTTTTTTTCTCAATATAATGCTATTTTATATGCTGCTTAATACAAAACCGACATATTTTTTTAATGAGATTAGGCTCAATCGAATCATATGGCAGCTATAGATGGATCTGTTTACTTGCTTAGAAATATGAGCCAATAAATATACAAAGTACATTTTATGTGGAAAAGTAGACCAAAAGTCAAATTCACGGTCACATTAAGATGTCCAATAAACTACTCCCTATTCAAGTTCAAAACGCATGAGTAGAGTTACTGGGTATGCATGTGTATGCAGTGTACGTTATACAGGGACAGTTTGTTAAACTTTCATCAACATGTGCCTCCCTACTCCTTGCGAGAATGGCGGAATCTGCGTAAGTGAGCTGTACGGATCTTTGTACACGTACTCGTGTGCGCGTCTGTCCTGTTGTACCTGTCAGCAGTCCATCACAATCAAAATGTTCATGAGAAAACAATACATAAGTCTGATTGTGTTGGTTTTATTAACTTATGAACAAACGTAGGAAAAGAGGAGGTAGCACCTTTCCATTTCAAGCCGTGACTTATAACAGTCATGTTGAGTACAGGTACATGGGCATAAGGTTCTGTAGTTTCATGTACGACGCAAAACAACGAGGGCTTGTTTGAATACAGTTGTCTAAAAATATTCATATTTATATATATTTATATCATGATTTCCAAATTTATAATTCAGATCAATTGTTTCACGTTTTTGTCATTTTTATCTGAAACATGAAAACACACATACAAAGAAAAAAAAACGCACGCGCATTTCACATCGACACTTACACCGCAAGCACGAACTTGCGCAAACACACAAAGAGGCATAGTTATTGAGACAAGTTGCAGTTTCACTGGTGTTTGTTTATGGTAAAAAGGAATAATACCGGAGGGGGGGGGGGGTTACTACAGGTGACATCTCAAAACACGTTAAGTACAACTCACACCCTTGGTAATGTTATCTCCAATCCCGATAGCCCGCTAAATATAGATCAAGTACATATTTCAGGCCCGTAGACAGGGGTGGTTCGGAGGGTCGAAAGAACAACCCTTTTGCTGTTAAAAGGTCCCCTCTGGGTAAAATTTTATGTAAGTACATGAAGTTTTCGTGGTAAAAGGTCCACTTTTTCAGAAAAAGAACCCCCTCTTTGAAAATGCTGGCTTCCGGCCCTAATTTGTATATCTGAACATAAGAGTGACTTCCAAATGAGACTTAGCCCAGACTTGTAGGGCTGTTTCCAGAGGTCAACCGAGTATGGGGTTGAATTGGTTTGCATGAAATTTGGCGTTTTTACTTTCTTAGAACGGCCATGGAATACTCCTTGATCACCAAAACCACCACCGATAGCTTTGAAAGATCTTGTTTAAAAATTGCAACCACTCAAAAGCATTCTAAAAACTAGCATTTAATACGAAGAGAAAAATTAAATTCGTAATAACAACTTTTCAAATGAAATGTAGACTTTCTTTTTTATTATAAAATGTTGTGCCACTTGGAAAAATGAAAATCGAACCCACCTTTTTTATTTTATTTTATTTATTTATTTTAATTTTTTGCTTTTATATCTATAAAAATTAATAGGAGATAATACTTATCATGCCTCGACTTACATTATTCATTTATTTTTGTTTCATCTTAAGACTGAATTTAATTCAAAATATTTTATTTTAACACATCAGAATTATATAAATATCATTATAAATCAAACTGCACTGATTATATCTTGACCAAATAAAATAAAACGTGCACCCTATAACAAGGACATACTAGAATAAAAATAACTAAAGGTAAACGACTAGAGATAAAAAAGGACCAAATAAATTAGCATCTATTAATGAATTAAACAAGGTACAAATACATTAATTTCAATTAGCCGTTAGATACAATGTAGGAACACTAATAATCAATGCTCAAAGAAAAAACAATAACTATAATCACAAACGCAAACTGTATTGATGATGTGTCTGTTTACCGTAGTATCAAGAAGCCAACCGAGACAATCAGAATTGACCCAACTGCATGCAGACCGCGCTCGTAACCCTTAATATATATTTTAGTTGCTTTCAGCCCTTCTGCTTGATTAACACTTCATAAAAACATTGCCAACGACCGAAAAAAAAAAACACAAAAACATTCACAGGCCATTATCACCATAATGAGAACGTCAGCCTCAAATGAAGTTAGGATTACACGCTCAGATCTTGCTCCATGGGGAGGGTATTCCAGCCAGACAGATCTGGGAGTGATTTGGGACCTCTTTCGACCCAAAAGGGTGCTTATATTATTCAAAGTAAGTTTTCTTTCATTCCCTTCACTTTTATTTGTACTGAAATGCGTCATTCAATGATGTTGCTTATTCTGTGTGTAATATCACATAAAGTTCACGCAGTTGTAATTGTGTAGATGGCGAAATGTGTGTGAACGAGCCACATGTTTACAATAATTAAGTTGCGGAATTCATTACAAATAAAAATTGATCATCTATTATGACAACTAGACATTATGACATTTCGGCTGTATAGCATTTCAGCAAGTAGCCGAACGGTTTATTAACCACAGAGATTCTCTTAAGGGACTGAATTTTTACTGTTCTCAGCTAACCAAACAATATCCGGTTGTGTTACACCTTGCAAAAACACTGACGGTAAAAAATTCAAATACATTAGATTAAAAAAGTACCTGAAAGTCTTGTGGCTTCTTAACCCATAACATCTCTCTTAACTTGTCAGGCATGCCTAAGGGCCATCTTACCTGTTTACTAACACGCCCTGTTAAAGGTGCTTAGGTTATGTGTATCATAGCTTATCTCTGTCTGGTTCTGTGTGATATCATAATGTTAACTTATTCAGGTGACAACGACGAGGGCAGAGTTGGTGTTGACATTTTAGAAGTGTGTGAGTCTATTACATTAGTTATCGTCATCGGCTCTGAGTTGATGGGAATCAAAAGCATGTTGGGCAAAGGGTGGGCATACTCGGTGGGCATTCTAATTTAATGTAGTTTCCGGTCTATATTAGTCCAGATAGCTATTTGAATATATTATATTTTATGAAACGTATACTGGAAGTGACCGACCAACACTGACCACACTGATAATGATTTTGGCATAAAATGACTAATCCATTTGAAAAAAAAAATACATGTAACGATGAAAGATGACGAAGTTTGAGAATTTAAAATACCCGTCAGTAACGCAGATGGATTGGATTAAATTATTGAGGGCTTGTCCATATACCACAATTGTTTGGTCTTCACGCCATCTCCCGCGGTATGTGTTTGCTTTGTAGGCAGAGTTCACATATTTCCAGATAAGAGAATTAAACCAAATTAAATATTAATTTTCTCACATTGGCGCATATGATTTCTTATTCCCTTAACAGTTTTTTAGTTTTAGCTTCACCAGGCAGCTCGTCCTATTGAATTTTCTTTTTAAAAACGTTGGCAGGATAATTTTAGAGGGACAAGACATATGAAATAATTAGGAGTAGACTAAAGACGCTCATGAAATCCGCACGAACCACCCGTCGAATTCGTTCTTATTTTTCTCTTGCTATAAGAGTAGGATCAATTTTGGTTGTTGCCGCTTTAGCGATTTTTCTGATATTTCATCTACGTTTACTTTCTATCGGCCATTCACATTCAGACGCAGAAAGCACGAGGAGGTTCCCGTGCCAAAACAATGTTGCGTGCAGAGACACTGCAAAAGGATATTCAGGCACGTGTCCAACTGGCTTCACGGGAAAGGACTGCGAAACCAACATAAACGACTGTCATTCCGCGCCTTGTAAAAATGGAGCCAAGTGCACCGACAGGGTGAATAGTTTCTCGTGCGACTGTGTGTCTGGGTTCACAGGAGAAACGTGCGATGTGAACATTAATGACTGTCTTTCCTCACCCTGTAAAAGTGGTGGGACGTGTACGAACGGTATTAATGGGTATACATGCATCTGTCCAGTAGGATTTACCGGGGCCAACTGTGGTTCCAACATAGAGGACTGTGCCTCGAAAACTTGTCAGAATGGAGCAAATTGCACAGACAATATTAACGGCTATACGTGCTCGTGTGTTGCGGGATTTACCGGTAAAAACTGTGAAATCAACATAAACGATTGTGCCTCTAAACCTTGTCAGAATGGAGCAAATTGTACAGACAATATTAACGGCTATACGTGTTTGTGTCTTTCGGGATTTAACGGTAAAAACTGTGAAACCAACGTGGATGATTGTGCCCCTAAACCTTGTCAGAATGGAGCAAATTGCACAGACAATATTAACGGCTATACGTGCTCGTGTGTTGCGGGATTTACCGGTAAAAACTGTGAAATCA